TCTTACTGAAATCTGCTTCCATATCATAAAGGATTAAGGACAAAAATGTTTAGCTGTGATTTCAGGAAGTGGCCATCTTCATTTTGATTGGATGTCTGTGGAGCTCTGTGTGGCCACTGCAATCCCAGTCAATCCTATAACATCACACACATATGCCATCTGCTCTGAGCACAAATAGAGAAAACAATAGACCCCCCCCAGACTATAAACAGAATTACAGGAAATAGTCACATTTTCTAAGTACCTACTTAACAGCTCATCCATTTCAATAATCGAGTACACAGGATTTATCCTTGAAAGCATGAAGCTTTAGGAAAGGTAAACTGGACTGACACATACACACACACACACACACACACACACATATGCAGGAGCATGTAAGGTGTCATGTTTAGTCAGGATGTTTTTTCATCACTTTCACAATTTTGGTTGTTTCATATTCAATCATATTAAATGAAACCCCCTTTACCGACCCCCCCCCTGCTGCCCCCTGGTAGGTTTGGGATGATTCCTTTCTGAAGGGAAACCAGTTCGGTATTCTATCTTTGAAACGTCTCTTGTTCCAGGTTTGCAGCTCAACTGAAAAAATGCTTCATTCCTGCTTCTCTTTAATGTAGATATGGCCGTTTTAAGTTGTGCCGAATTCAGATTGTGGTATGTCCCCTCCTTGATCTCCTTCGTGCACCACAAGCCCCCAAAAACACTACTGACAGCAGCAGGACAAGCTTTGATTTACTTTCTTTATTGTGAATTTTCTAATTAACAGCTGTAACGTTCCATCCATGCTGCTTTGGGCCAGAAGTCTGTATTAAATCTGAAAAATCTGGGCTTAGTCAGTCCAAGGATTACAAACCCCAAGCAAAAATTGTAACACAGATTCAAATAGCAATGATGCCAAAGGAATTTCAATAAATTCACCAAAATTAAGGTTTTTCCCGTAAGGTACACCTGAGGCCTGACATAATCAATTGAATCGTCCAATTCTAAGAGGAACAGCTCCGAAGAACCTGTATATGTTTGTTTGTTGGTTTTAGAGATGAGCCCTTTTGAATTGAGCAATTCTGCTGCATTTTTAGGTGCTGACCCTCATCTACATCACCTTTGTAGCTTATTTTCATCCATTCCGAAAAGCTAAAGCTGCAGTAACAAATAAAAATAAAACATTTGGTCCTTAAATTTACACAGTCTAGGCAACATGGTATCAGAGTTTTAAAAAGCGACCCTATTTTAACATCAGTACAAGACATCAAAGGAGAGCTCTGAATAGGACAAAGAGGGGGCAGAAAATGGGGGAGGGGGGACACAGGGGAGGGAGACACAAAAGCATAAAAAGCCAGAGGTCTAGAAAGAGGAAGAGACGTGAGAAAAGAGAGGGGGGGGGCTAATACAAACTCACACTGTAAATGAGAAAGCAGGTAAAACACAGTTTAGTTACAGCAGTTAGTTGACGTGAACCTCAGTGTCTTATTGGTCCAAAACTAACACCACACATCTGGGACAAGAGACCACTAGTGGATTGCTCCTATTTTTAATGACCAATATATGAATCACTACAGTGTTCTTTTTATATCATCATTATAGTTATTATTGTTATGGTGAAAGGATTTACACTTTGGTAGGAAATAAAATATGGGACCAGGGATGCAGGGGGGCGACGGGGTGGGTCTGCAATCCCCGACAACCTCGGAAGGAGCTACAGCCGCTGCTCATATCCCACATTATCATTTCTGTGAGTTCTTATTCGTCATCAAGTCTTTTCCATGTTGATGTCTGTCTAGTCCCGCCCCCCAGGCCTCCCTCAGCTCTTCCCGATAGTCACAGATACACTATGTAGGCGAACAATCAGTACTGAACACATCCTCAACCCCCTAGTGGGCTGGTCTCTGCTGCTCTCTGCTTGTCTTACATGTTGGCAGGGAGTTTGTGCCTCAGGGCCTCGCTCTCTTTCCGGGGAAGGGGCATCCCTGTGTCTTTGCCTGCCCCCTTGGCAGGAGCTGAGGGGACCGGGGAGGTCAGACCCGGCGCAGGAGGGGTTTGGGAGACACCAGGAACCATCTGGGCGGCGGGAGTGATGCAGGGGAGAGGGGACAAGGGAGGCGGGGTGGGGGAGGGCTTGGGGAACGGGCTCTGGGGAAGAACCGGAGTGAGAGAGGAAGGGGTGGGGAGAGCAGAGAGAGGAGGGGATATTGGGAGGGAAGGAGATGCTGAGGAGGCGCTGGGGCATGCTGCTGGGGGGGGCAGTGGTGAACCAGCAGTCGGGGTTGGAGTCGAGGACCGGGGAGGTGAGGCAGAACATGAGGCAGGTGCGGCGATGGGTTTGGGCTGCTGGGCTTGGGGAAGGCTGGGCTTGGGGCAGGGGGACTGGGGAATGGCGGAATTGGGGGGACCCAGCGGGGTAGCCAGGCAGACTGGCTGCCCCTGGGGGTGTCCTTGGGACAGCAGCGTGAGATTGGTTTGGGTCAGCGTCTGCTGATGGGTCGGCGGGGCATTGGTGCTCAGCACCCCCGCACTGCCCCCTCTGGCCAGCTGCCCTGAGGACGCTAGGAAGGGCGCCGCTAGTAAGTTTCCCCCTGAGGCTTTGCGGTGCAGGGGGGGGCACCCCTGTACTCCAGCCCAGCCTCTGTGGGGCAGCGTGGGCTGAGACGCGGAGAGCAGCCTGGCCTCCTGCGTCAGCCTGCCCAAGGCTGGCAGCCCCTGTGTGCTCCCACCCCCGTGACGCAACAGGGCCTCTTTCGCCCTCTGCTGGCCAGACCCATGAGCACGGGCATCGGTGCACTTGTGCAGGGCTGAAGTAGCAGGTGCGGAGCCGTCGGCACGGAGGCGCAGGCTGTAGTGGAGTGTCCGACTCGGAGTTGGCATGGAGGACGTCGGCACTCCACTCGTTACAGAGCCCCCTGCTGGAGTGGGGGCCAAGGGCGAAGGAGAGGGCGTGGAGCCGACAGAGGCAGGGGGGACCCCTCTTGGGGACAGTCCTCCCACAGTCCCGATCAGGGAGCCGACTGACTGGCGGGGGTGCAGGACTGGGGGCCGGGGGGGTGAGAGGGGGCAGGTAGAAGGCGAGGGTGAGATGGGCAGAGAGGCAGGGAGGAAGAGCGCCGCCCCCAGAGCGTGCTGCTGCTGGTGCATCAGGGCAATGGCCACGTTAGTGGTGGCAGCTGCCGTCTGTAAGGGGGCGTGGACCAGGGGTGCCCAAATCAGGGGGTGTGGCCTGGGAGAGACAGCACCCCCTGCTGCCTCCGCCCGCCCCCCCCCTGGGATCCCGCCATCCTGGGCGGGCATGCTATCATGCTTGACGATTTGCTGCACCAGGATACTGTCACAGGAGCCTAGGGTCACGTTGCCAGCAGCGCCTCCGCCCCGGCTGCCGGCGCCTCCTCCCCGCCCAGTGCTACTCCCGGCAACAGACCCTCCCTGAGACGCTTTCCTCAACAGAATGGAGTTCTTCTTGCCTGGAGACATGGAGACAAATTCCAGAGAATTCTCAGCCCCAGTTGAAGTGGAGCCCACCATGGGCAGATCGGCTGGTGGCACTGCGCACGTTACCTATGCGGTCGAGGCGGTCCACAGCCACGGTCTCGAAAGCCCGCCGCATCATGGGGTGCTCCTCCAGCACCTCATTGAAGCTGTCCACTGACAGAGAGTAAAGACGGCAATAGGTATCTGCCCGGACGCTAGCCGTGCGCCTCCCCCTCGTCAGCAGGCAGATTTCTGAGGGAGAGGAGGAGATAGAGGAGAAGGGTAGATGGAGGAGAGGGTGACCACCAGGCAGCAGAAATGGAAAGAAGCAGAAAAATGTATCCATCCATCCTCTACACCTCATTCCAAAAAATAGCGCTAGCTGGGAGCCTCCATGCCACCTGATAATACTAACATGAACAAACACAAACAAATGATAAACGGCACACAAATGATATATAAAACAAACAAGACTGGCACAAACAAGCACGAGCAAATGATTTTCAGAACAAATGAACCATAAATGGCACAAACAAATGATATATAGAACAAACAAACAAGCACAAAGAAGCATCAACAAACTGCTCTCTTATATGTTGATTACTTTTGCTCCCATGTTCTCAGATGGGAACTGAGCACACCTGCCTGTGTAGAGCGTGCACCTGCGATCGCGCTCCTGTCTCAAGCTGCCGTGACGCGAGAACAGGTGTGTTTACGGAGTGGCGGACAGCTCGCCGCTGACATGTCCCCGGGAGACGGTGACAGAGAAAACCCGACCAGGTTATACTCCCCAGGCGAAAGCCATGACAGATATGTTCCACTGACTTACAGATCTCACTCTCTCAGTGCTGGGAAATGACATAATCCATGTGACATTCAGAAGGAGCAGTGACATCCTGTGATATCCCGAGGAGAGGGGGAGGGCGGGGTTGGATTTTAAGAGGACCTCCATGGTTTATAAGGCACAGAGTGCTGATTCCTCCGGTGACGCCCAAGTGCAGGCACTGCCAGGCCTGCCCCACCCACTCACCGCCAAAGTAGGAGCCATCGCTCAGCTTGGTCTCCTTGTTGCCGCGGGTGAGCACACTGACACGTCCGTGCTGGATGAAGTACATCTTGCGGCCCACAGTGCCCTCGCGGATGATGAAGTCGCCCGGCTGGAAGACTTCGAAGCGCAGTTTGGTCAGCACTGCTGTCACGAAGTTGGGGTCAGCGTTGGCGAACAGGGGCATGTTTGCCACCAAGCTTCTGCAGTTGAAGCTCACGATCTCCTGAGGAAGGGGTGTGGGATGATGGGGGTGTGGGATGATGGGGGGGGGGGGGGGGAGTTAGAGTGAAGGTCTACCATTTCCTCGTTTCAATGCAATTTACTACAGTCAAGATCCAGCAGTGTAGAGTGCAGGCTTTATGTGAGGCAGCAGAAGTAAGAAAAGTCGGGATAGACCTCTTTCAGGGGGTCGCTCAACTCTCCCAGGATGTTCTCCTCGTCGAACATCTTGCCCTGGTACCGGTGCTCATAGTACTCATGGATCTTCTGCCTCACGTCCGCTGGCAGCTTGTGGAAGGACATGTACTGCTCCACCTGCTTATACTGCGAGCATGGATACATGGGGGTAATCATTTGCACCTCTCCATTCCTCATGCTTAAAAGCTTATTGACTTCTTCCTGGTGCTAAGTCTCGGATCAGCACCCACCAGGCAGGGTACAGATCACGCTTAGTCCAGCCTTGATCAAATGTTTAGAACACAAAACAACAAAGATGGCAGCTTTGATCTTTTGACTGCTGGAGGATACTGGAGCAGCCATAGGAGTACAGCGGGATTCAGGGAGAGCAGGCCAACTCCTCACACAGAGCGGAGGCGAGATTCGGCCCACAAACCTTGGGGGTGTGAGGAGACCGTGCCACCATATTTGTGATCAGTACTATTAGTAGTAATTTATTAATCAACAAAGAGCAGGAACAACAACTGCAGCTACCGAAGAACGTTGGCCCTTTTGATAGCGGTCTAAAATGCTGAATGTTACGGATCTGAGAGCCGGGCATGGCAGGGGTACCTTCTCCTGGTACTGGCGCCGGGAGGAGTCGAGGGACTGGATGAGAGCGGTAGCATGACCGATGAACATGGCGTAGCAGGTGGCACCCACGATCATGCTGAGCATGGTGAGCCAGACGTCCGTCATGCCCTCGGGGGCCTGGGCACCGTAGCCGATGCACAGCATGTGACTCATGGCTTTGAAGAGGGCGTAGGAGTACTGCACACCCCACGTGTCATTCTGGAGGCGGGGGGGGGGGGGGGGGCAGAGAGACAGAAAGAGACAGACAGACAGAGAAAGACCGACAGGGAGGGAGGGAGGGAGAGAAAGGGAGACAGAGATAAACAGACAAAGAGAGGGAGACAAAGAGAGACAGAGAGAGAGAGAGAGAGAGAGAGAGGGATACACAGAGAGACAGAGAGGGACGGAGAGAGGGAGGGAAGGACAGAATGGGAGACAGAGAGAAACAGACAGAGAGAGGGAGACAGAGAAAGGGACAGAGGGAGGGAGAGAAAGGGAGACCCAGAGATAGAAAGAGAGAGGGAGACAGAGAGAGACAGAGAGGGAGGGAACGAGACAGACAGGGAATGAGTGAAAGAGAGGGATATAGCGAGACAGAGAGAGAAGGAGAGAGAGAGAGACAGCAAGATAGAGAGGGACAGCGAGAGAGACAGAGAGAGGAAGACAGAGACAGATAGACAGACAGACAGAGAGAGACAGAAAGGGAGAAGAAGATAGAGAGGGGGACAGACAAAGGGAGGGAGGGAGGGAGGGAGGGAAAGAATTATAGGGGCCGAGAGAAAGATGGAAAAAGGGTGAAAGAGAAGAATATAGTGAGACAGAAAGACGGAGGGACAGAAAGAGAGCAACAGAGAGAGAAAGAGAAAGAGGGAGGGAGGGAGAGACAGAGAGAGAGCAAGAGAGTCAGGGAAGGGAGAGAGGGAGAATGAGACAGAGAGGGACAGAGACAGGGATAGAATGAGAAAGAGGGAGAGAACAAGAGAGAGAGTGATAGTGAGAGAGGGGACGTGCAAACGAGAAGGTGAGGTGAAGTGAGAGATTATTCCTGAGTGTTTGTCAGGCGAGTGCTTTATGGAAGTTTTCTGTTGCGAGCAGACAGGGGAAGCATAAGGCAGACAGAGTAATTACTCCAGTGAGTCCACAAATGGCTTTTTCCTGCGTTTGTGTTCAGTCTGGCTGTGAATCGCGTAACATACATTCAGTGTTATATTGGTCGCTTGGATTTACACTCCCAGGGGCCAATTATCGCCTGGTTTAGATCTAAGCAGTCCAGATGGAAAGTCGCTCCTTCTGGGGATCTCAGAGCGTCAGCTGTGTGGCAACTGTTGCCGTAGCAACAACAGGAGAGGAAAGCCTGCTGCTCTGTGAGTCAGCTATTCACAGGAATGTGTGTGGGGAGGCGGGGGGCAGGGCGGGGGGACATCCTTATTTCAATCAAATCAATCATCACACTTAATTGAGAAATTTCTGCTCAGTCAATCTGCTCCTAAAAGGTGTTTGCTGACACACACTAACTCACACACACCACACACCCGCCTGTAATGCGGCAGACACCACCGGCTGCACACAAACTAATATCTACAGGTCTGCCTGGTGTAAATATGCACAGATGGGCATGGACACCCTGGTAGCACTCACTCACACACATACACACACACACACTGTCCACATATTCATATGTTTGTGAGGACTCTCTAATCAGTTCTATGGTGAAAAGCCCTAATCCAACAATGACAACCTTAACCTCTACGCAGCCCTAAGCTTAACCATAATTAACCAAACAAAATAGACTTTTGGCATTTTTAGGTTTTTGATTACAGTCACAGATTTTTATAAAATGGAGTTTCCCCTTTTGGGGACCAAAAAAAAATTGTCCCCACAATGCCAAAATAACATACTACCACCACATTGAAAGGGACATGTAATATTTAGATGACCTGCACAAAAAACACAGACACGCACACACACTCACCACCATGTCGTTCTTGGACACCCAGCAGTCGGGGGGGAAGTCCTGCAGCATGGGCACCAGGAACTGCAGGCAGCCGTCCCAGTGACACAGCAGCAGCATCATGCCGATGAGGTTGACGATGCGCACCATGGCGCTGGCCAGGTCGTAGGTCATGTGGAAGATCTGCAGGCGGGGAGGGGGGGATGAGTCAGGGGCTCGGGGCGGGGCTACTCCCTCTGCTACCAGTTCCTGTCCCACCTGCCCACATGCCTGTAACTGCAGCTCAACCTTCCCTAATAATACATGAAATGGGTGAAAGGTAAGCTTTACATTAAGGGGACACCTGGAACCACACATACACTATGGATAATTTAGTGACATCAAGGTGCTTATTCACAGGACGGCAGGAGAATCCCAGAAAACACAGGGAGCCCATGCAGAGCAGGATTCGAACCCATACTCACTTCATTCTCCCTGGAGCCAGTTTACCTGGCTTCTGTAGAAATACAAATTTAGCTAAGAAAAAAAAAGAAACTGGAAAAAATATTTTTTTAAATCAATATGTCTGATTGATCATTTTTTCCTTTTCTAATACAGTAATTATTACTGAGGCCCTATTCACACCAGGGACTAACATGCATCCTGGTTGACCGGATCACAAGATCTATCCTATCGCTCAAACCACATTCGGAGGTGGCTTGGGACGCATGTGGCCACATTCTTATAGCAGTATGTGTCTCACGCCACACTGAAGGACTGCGTACTCAGCTGACGCCCTCGTGTGGGCTTAAGTACCTATGCGCCAGCGATATCTGTCATATGATTTATGTCAAAATATATGTCAGTGCAGAATGGGCCACTGTGTACTAAACTGCATTGTGAACAGCGCATCTCTTTCCCTACAACACCAATAAATAAATAAATAGATAGATAATATTTGAATCTACTGGGAGGTTTAATATCGGACCCATTTGCACGGGAACGTCGTCAAAGTCCGCATCCTTAATGTTCCGTGCAAATTCGGGAAAAATAAATCGTGTAAGAAATGATTTATTAAAGATGTTTTGAAATTTGCAGAGATCATATATTTCATGCACACTTTGATGAAGCTTCCTTATTTATGGTAAAGCTGCACCGCGCTTTACTAATATTGGTGAAGCATGCCGGCAAAAATTACACGAATGCAAAGTTACAACATGTAGGTAAGAATATGTGTTCAATAACCTAGATAATGGATGTCTTAATAAAAACATATAATGGCAGTGTAATTGTTTATGTAGTTTTATATTGAGCTGTCTGGGGGCTTGAACTCCCAGACGGAAAGTCAGCCCCATTCTACTTTGCTCCTTTTTTTAAATGTTTGGCAGATTCTGCATATGGAAGTGATTCACATGCGTGTTTTAAATAAGTTGTGGGAAAGTGAAATCTGATTACAAATGGTCAGTCAAGGCGCATGCGGCGACGCATGTTAATACCAGCTGTGAACAGGGTTGAGAGATACTCCAGGTCTCACAATTCAGAGAGGTGACCAGGTCATGGAAATGAGCTGCTTTAAGCAGCAGAATTTTTAAGCAAGGGGGAAAAAATCACCAAAGAAGAAAAGAGGCATGAACTTTGTACAAAGACAGCTGCGGTTATGCTGAATTCAGCAATACAATTCACACTCTAACGGTGTCCATCCAGCAAGGATAAAATGTGATTCTCATGCCTCTGAGACCACTTTACAGTAGGAGGGGATGACCGTGGGCTTCAAACACAACCTACCTAAACCTAGTGGAATTCAACTGAGTAACCAGCAGGTTGCAAGCTTAACCATCTGCTGCATGAAAATCCCACCAACTCAGGCTTGAAGGCAAACCTTGTGTCAGTATTCGAAATGCATTTTGCCTTGTTAGATTTTAACAGCGTGAGCTAGCGGGAGCCGCCATTAGCTAGGTTGGACGGCATCCCACAAGACAGCACCTGCCAGCTGGGACCGAGCGAGCAGAGATGCATGATTTAACTGGCAGCTTCATGAGCTATTTGATGGTACTTCCTGCAGTGGGATCCCTGATGCTCAACACTGCCGTTGACTGATGTCAATCTGAATAATTAATGTATCAGTTGTCTGTACTCCATGAAACATCAGGGAATCTCAAAAATCTTTTCTCTAACTTGTTTGTGTATTTTTTAAAGAGGAAATGATGTATTCATTATGGTTTGCATCTTATTTATTACAGAATTTATAGACACTACGCTATGAACGTTTATCAATAGCAAGAGCGCTGTTGTGGTCTTGGCAAGACCAGTCTTACTAACTTGCCAAACTGGGGCCACAATGAATCATGACACTGGTCTCACTCAGCGAGGATGCAACCAATGTATCTTTGATATTTGGGGTGGAGCAAGACCAACATCCAGGGATTTTTACCATCTTCTGTACTATCTAAACTAAAACTTCTGATCTTAGTAATGGAACTGGTCTTCGGCAATGAAAGACGACATCAAACGGGTACATGAGGACACAAGTACGGTCAAGTATGCATATTGAGAAACACCCTATGGCTACTTCTCCATGACCTCTGACCTTTCACCCCTCACCTCTTCCCATTGGTGGATGTAGCGTATGAGCCGGGACAGCCGCAGCAGCCTCAGAAGACTGAGGATCTTGGTGAAGCGGACAATGCGCAGGGCACGGGCGGTGCGGTACACTTCCGAGTCAAGCCGGGCCTCCAGATCCACCATGAGAAAGATGTAGTCCACAGGGATAGAGGAGACAAAGTCCACAAGGAACCAGCTCTTTAGGTACTGATGACGAATGGCTTGTGGATCCAGCAAGATCTCCGTGTTATCTTCCTTCACGATGCCTGTCCGAAAGTTGAGCACTAGGTCCGCCATGAAGAGAGTATCGGAGACCACGTTGAAGATGATCCAGGACGCCGTGTTCTCGTCCTTGAAGAAGGTGATACCCACTGGCAGTATGATCAGGTTTCCCACCATGAGAAGAAGCATCAGCAGGTCCCAGTAGAACCTGGGGAGTGGCGAGGCAGCATGTGGGTCACTATGCTTACCAGAGAGCGAAAGTCTCCAACTCTCAGCTTCACAGAACAAAAGCATTAACAGGTCAGAAACAATACCAGTGTAATGAAGCATTGATTGGGATCAGTAGCATCAATTGGGATGTCATTGAAGTGTCTTATGGTGTAAATATATCAATAACAATCCCTGCAGGACCCATCACTCACAGCAAAGCACTGCTTACCCTGAAGGTCAACATCCAAACCAGACGGGACACACAAAACTCGTCCCCATTTCTCGCTAAAAAGAGGCTTACCGACAGAATCTTTGCACACGACAGAAATTAATACCTGAAGAACCTTGGGCTACATCTGTAGAAGTAGAACAGATAGGATCTCCTGTAGAAAATCCTGGACATGATCTAGAGCTAGTAATTAAAGCCCATGAACAGAACGATGTACAGAACAGCATCAGTGCTCTGACACGAGAGAGAGCTTAGTGTTGAACAATCTTCCTCATTAAACTCCAGCATTTAATTGCGGTCGGAACTTGTTTTAAAATCAGCAGTGGTTGTGTAGGTCATACATCAGCAGAGGGAGTCTCCTCTTGCCAAGGTTGGATTTCACTGTTATGTTCTGCTATGAGATCATGGCTTCGGAATCGCTTCCATTCGAAACACCCAGTGTTAAGCAGCACTACACAGTAATCCTATAGATCGATGTTAAGTGCCAATTACTTGTCAAGGGTGATAATGGGGCCTGTAAAACCTTCACTGGCTGATATACGAGTTCAGCCTCCCGTTGAGCACAAACCCTGCCAAAGAAAAACAACGACGATGTATTTGGGGAGGAGGGGGGGGGTCGACTTCATGGTATATATGGTAACATTTTTATAGAAGACATTATGGTTGAAACAAATAAATTAATTAAAAGCGAGCGGTAATGTGAGCGGCATGTCGTTTATCTATTATTAACTGCCTTTTCTTCTGCCTTTACATATTCAGTTTCATTTACCGTCAGGTTTGTGCCCCGGCGAAAATAAATGGCGAATCGGTGTTCGACAAGCAAGGGTGTAGGTTTGGTTTCAGCAGTGATAGGGACCAAATCATATATCCTTATTTACTATCAGTCAATTGCACTCCAAGTGGTGTACAAAAAGATGTACACCACTTGGTGTACATCTTTCGTGACCCTGATTTTTATTATTATTTTTTAATGCTTTCCCTAATTGACCTATTCTATTCCGCAGACAACGACCCAAACATCCCTATCCGGTCATACTGTTGATGCATCATGGGAAAGCTAACGCCTCCACCCACCTGAAGCACTCGGCGTCTGACTGGTGGCCAGCTAACCCGGCGGCCTGGGCGCCCTGTCCGTGCCCATAGGAAGTCCGCTTAATATGCCTCTCCCTGCATGAGGGCTGCTACTCACGGCTGGATCCTGGCATAATCCAGACGGAAAGCAAGGTCTGAGCCGTAGGATCCGGCATTAAAGCTGTTATTTTTTGTCTGACCATTCAGACATCTAAAACCGAGGTGAGCCATAAAACAGGCAGAGTGCAATTTCAATCTGGTCAAATCCAGCAGCGTTGCCAACTCTCTTGCATCTGGCGCCACTCACGCTTTCTTACTGTCAAGCTCACCAAGAAATCTTACGACAAATCGGTATTATTCCATTACAAACCTAAAATTAGCTAAAACAAAAGCGTTGGAGCAGTTTGCAAACCTTACAGACTATTTGCAAGGTAATAAAACTGTTTACATGAAAATATGTGCAGACTTGTCTTGCATTGAAATTCTCAAGTCAGCCAGTCAGCAACCCAGATATAGTGAGTGGTTCCGTAAAATTATTATTATATTATATTATATTATTATTACATTAGGCCAATATCCGGTGTAAATTGAACAAAAATACTGTCTTCATAACACTTGGAGAGATAATTTCATATGTCTGGAGTAAGGTAGTAAAACAAACTAATCCACCAGCAACACGAAAGAGATTAAATGCATGGAGTCCCCTGTCGCCTATCGACGATCCTTTTGATCCCAGTAGCCGAGGACTACTGTTCAATCAATACGGACACGCTGTCCTGCACAGCTGTCTCCGGTCACAGTTCGCGGTTCGGCCGGTTCGGCTCAGACACAGAACCAGCGGTCCGACCGAACCCACACAGCGGTTCCACTTGACAGCCCTGAAATGAGGCAGCACTTCCCAGAGCACCAACCTTAAAAGTGAACCGAAATTCAATCACACTCCTTATAATTACTTTTTGAAATGGCGGGGGCACTCTCCAACAAAAATAAATCAAAAATTAAAGGAGACTGAAATTAACATAAATATAACACGTATATCTGTACTGTACTTACAGTGATATTAATTTATTTAACGCGGGCTTTTAACGCCTTGGTGACAATCCATTAAGTGTTTATTTCTGAGTGCTTTTACATAGAAGAATACATCGTACCGACAGTGCTTAATCATAATAAGTTTGCTCCATTTATTTACATTAAAAGAGTTACAGGACAATCAAAAGTTAAAAAATACTCAGATAATGAACCTGCTCTTTACATAGCTATAGCAGATCAGGTGTGACCTCACATATTTTTGTCATGCATACATTTATACCGTCCTACAAGATGAACTCCTAAAAAAGAAACAAAGAAAAAATAACAATTTAAAGAAAATTTTAAGCTATTAAATCTAAAACATAAACTTGTATTTCATGTAATATGAAACAACAATTTTGCTGCCTGCATGCAACCAAACTTCAAGATGTTTGAAAATTATCTACCTATATTTTGCCAATATTATTGAATACAATTTTCAAATTGTATTCAATTTTCAAATTGATACGCAAACGGATTATATCTGCTATTATCCATTTAAAAGGTGTGCTTTTCCACTCGTATCAGAAATGTACACCAACCTCAACCGCTACGTACGATACCCTATCAGACAATAATATCCGTGTCTTTATGTAGCCTATGTGACGGGCGATATGCCTGTAGTGTAATTGCCAGGGGAAAAAACATTTGCAGCTTAACATTGTCCTGTCGGTACAGTGTCACCTCTTCCGCACAACCCAATACTATGTTTTACACTTGAGAACAGGTACCGGACAGAAGCTCGCTATCCGGCACTACCTTCACACCACGCTATCCGTTTAGTTAGCCGCGTATTCGTTGCCGGCCCAGACAAAAGACAGCTCTTATGCTAATTATGCAGTATTAAGCATGTGCCGACCATGTGAAACCGGAGCTCTGTGAGAAAATCTGCTAATAATATTACAGTGATAAGAGGAGGAGGAGTAAGCAAACTGAATTGCGTTTTGTTGCGCTTTCTTATTCTAATACGTACTGCACGCATCTCAACTATGTATTACGCTACTTTTCATATTTTTTGTCATATGTAGATAATGTAGTCATCTAATAAGCACGATTAAACAACTCAAGAAATAAAGAAGCATCCGTTATTATAGACTAATATCTGAAAGGACTTGCAGGAGTGGCCGCTAGTTCTGAGCTATAAAATCGAAGATGGCAATTTTTAACCACATGTAAGCTGTTTAATTCCGTAAAACGGCCGTTTGTGCAGCTAGAGGCCTCGTTTACCGAGTAAATGTCAGAAATTGATTTTTAAAGGACAGGCATTTAAAGGACATCCGTAAAGGACGCAGTGTCTGCATGTAATATATGTAATAAAAGGGCGCGCGTCATCATGTTAATCCCAATTTTGCAACAGATTCTGTCCATACATTAATGAATAATCAAACATTACTTCCACTTGCTGACCCGTCACAGTGTCAGATGAAAAAAAGAAATATATACTTAAGCATATTTTAGAAAATATTCTCGTCATTAAGATTTCAAATCGTGTATTAAAATGTTTTACCTTCACTTCAAGGCAGCTTGCCTGATTTCATGACATTAATGTAATTTACATGTATTTGCATAATAACAAAATCCAACTGACAGCCAGTAGGGGGAGCTTTACATCTGTCACCGATTAACCAAGCTGTCACGTCAGCATCATTTAAAGGCAAAGCAGTAAACCGAGATCTCCATGAACTCAAAGTGCTAAATAAGCCGACATCTCCCGCTATACAACTAATGAGACGTGTTGGATCAGTCTAGACTGGAATATCTAGAACAACCATAAAAAGTCCGGCTGGGGGTCTAACCCAGACACTGGAGTTCTTATGGCCAACAAAGAGTCTCTGGACTCTAGTCTTATTATATATAGTAACGCCTTGTTTAGTCTAGTACTGATTGTACTCCCTTTAAACCCAAATGGCTTTCCACTGCTCCCAGCTCGCTGTCCCCATCCCCCAACCCTGCCTGTTAGTGCAATCCTCTGTTTATTCATAGCTCCACATATCACTGCTCTCCTGCGTATACCCGCTCAAATATTCAGATCCCTGCCACCTGAACCCCCATCTCTTACTGAGTTCCTCTTTCTTCTTGTTAGTGCACCACAAACGGTGATTTATTTCTGAAGTCACATTTTATAAGTTATACATTTTAATATGGCTGGGCGTTGGCCTGAGGAATCGGACGGATCCTGCTGGAACCCAAGCAGCAAACCATTAGAGGTCCACGCTGATGCTCGGCCATCACTCACTACGTCACCCTGGCCCAGGTCACCAAATGTATTTATTTTTTTTCCCAGTGATTCTCCACTCCAACTGAATTCTCCGGTGCCCCCCGGCTGCTACCTGAAGTCGCTGTAAGGGTGGATGATCCAGGACCCTGCAGACTTTAAGCGCTCCTGCTCCATGGCCACAGCCTTGTGACTCCCAAACATGCGCAGGGAGAACTTGTTCACACCCGGCTGAAGCATGGCCCCGAACTGGCGCTGGATGAAGGTGGACTGGTTGGAGTAGCTGTAGTCCTCCCCGTCTAGGACAGCCTCGGGGGTTCCAGCGGCGTTGGAGTTGCAGGTGGTGGTGGTGGTCGTCTCAGGACCAGCTGCCACCACCATGACCCCTGTGCCTGTGGAGGAGGTGGAGGCCAAGGCCGCTCGGGATGCGGTGAATCCCACGGAGCGCTGAGGAAGTGGCACCGGCGTGGTGGGAGTCCCTGCTGCTCGGAAGGGGAGGCCATCCCGGCTGGAGCTCATGATGGAGAGCCGCCTCCTGCCAGACTCCCCGCGGTCCCCCTCCAGAGAGGCCTGGGACAGACGGTACCCAGGGGACGGGAGGCTGCCTTTGCTACGCCGCTTGGAGTCCCCGTTTCTGGTGGGTCGGCTGTCCCCACCTACTGACCCAGTACCACCCCCAACACCATCCATCTTCAGTGTATGATAATGCAAGGACAAGTGGGGGCTTTAATCCATCTCTTTACCAGCACACTAAAAATGTGCGGATGCATCCATCTGTGTTAAGCAAAGTACATATTCAGCTTAATAGACAGGTATTATCTCGGACACCTGATGCTGTTAATTGTCCCCAACTGTTTACTTTTTTAACAGCTCCAAATATCACAGCTCACACCTCTGCCCTCACTGTATCTCCAGCGTGTCCCAGCTTCTCTCCTTAGTGCCCTTGGATCTAGCCAGTATCGCTCGCAAAACAGATCTCCCACGCTAAACAAAATATATATATATATATGTATATATATATGACGAGCTCCTGTTTTACCTCGCGCGTGTCTGCACCGCGATCCCGCTATCATTCTTCCTCCCCCTTGTCCTTGGAGCGCCGCTCTACGACCGAGACCCACCCTCTCCTGACTCTATCCGTCTTTGTCGCTCCTACGCCAGGCATGCTGGCACCGAATCCCCGGCACCGCGTACGGGCGCACAGTTCTACTAATCGCTCTTCCGAACCATTATTTCCCCGTCGCCACAAACGTTATAATCATCTCTTCCCGATTTGTGCATCTTATTTAGATGTTAATTGCAACGAACTAACACGCTTCACTTTCTGATATTTTCATCTACAAATGGAAAGGGCACTTGATCGGTGCCGGGAAAGATACGTCGTCCACGATGGATACGCGGTGGCACGAAGATGCGGGCGGACGCCCGCCGGCTGATTCACACGCGTCCCGATTCATATCGACGCGCCGGCAAACGGGCTCACACACCGAGGTACACGCCAGCAAAGCCCGGAGCGGTAATTACCCACGGCAGAGGACTCACGCCGATCGCGGGCTCTGAGAGCTCCCGCTCTCCGAGAAGACAGTCACTCGCAGGTGTTAGAAGCGGGGGACGATCGGGGGGATGCAACAGGGATGGTCGCGGGCGAATTGAGTTAAGCACAATTAAGTAAAGGCGCAAAACGCGACCTAGGCAGATGCTGAAGGTGAGAGTGCTCCCTGCTGCCTGTTTTATATTTCACTGTCGCCTTCGCCCTTCCTCTTCATCTTCCCCCAGTTTTTCGAGCTGTCATCCGGCGCCACTCGTACTGCTCTCCCGATCTGGCTTTTTACTCTTCTTTTTCCAGGCAAGTTATAATATATATTTTTCTCACACATAGATATCAATCAAATCGCACCACACAATTACCATGAACGCAGATGTCACTTTGAAAACGTCCAGCCGTGACAGAAACACGAACCCTTGTTTGCGTTTAAAAATCACTATATGCTAAATAAGTCTCTCAAATCTGTTTAGAGACTATAACAGTGTAATCCCCCGAACCCGCGCTTTAACCCCGGTGGAGGGTGCGAGTAAATATAAAGAAAGAAATAAAGCAACAAAGGTCTGCATCTCATAGGCTGGTTGTCAAGGCAACAGCATCCCTATCAGCCTTGCCCGGGCTGCATGGCTGACCGCTTCCCCGTCTACGCAGCGCAGGTATGGGACGCGCGTCATCGGTCCTCACCGGGATACGATGAGAGATCTGACGAGGGCGGCGTCGAGGGCGGGGTGCCTGAGGTGGATAGGACGGCTGCGAGGCGAGGGGTGGGCCGCCGTGCGGCGCGCCGGGGCCCCGCTTCGCCGAGGCTGCGGATCGGTCTCATAGCTTTATTTTCTTTATGGGAAGCGGCGGTCATCTTGGGTAAAGTAGGTCAGGGGTTTAATGCGATGCCGGTGTGTGCCGACAGCTGCGAAAACGCAGAGGACACGGAAAGTCATCAGGTCTTATTTTTACAATCAGGAGGGAGGAAAGTACATTTTCCTGCAATAGGGCAAAAACTGTACATTGTCCTTACTTTTCCGTAATATTGTAAAGACATAAAATAAAAATGTAATAACGAGCATTTTGATTTATTCATTAAGTATTAATTGTATTGATTTTGCTGTAAAATACTAAGTATGGTTATGCTATAAAAAGTAATGCAAAAAAATCCGAAAGCCTAAGGTTGTTACTATTTGTACAGATCGATTTACCTTCAATACCTCGCATAAAGTATTGCCCGGGCTGCATGGCTGCCCGCTTCTCTGTCCACGCAGCGCAGGTACAGGACGCGCGTCATCGGCCCTCACAGGGACTTAAGCGAATTATTGTCTAGCTGCCTCTGTGTTACACATCCGTGTCTTTATCAGTAACTGGGCAGGAATCAAAGCAGTACGTGTATAAATTACCCCGTTCTCAAAAATGTTGGGACGCTGTGCAAAACGTATCAAACTAAGGAGGCCAGCTACTGGAGTTTTGAAAAGTAAAATGTTGTCTCACTCTAGCTTGATATTGGATTTCAACTGATCAACAGTTTGGGGTCTCCTTTATTGTATTTTTTTGTTTGTTTGTTTCTTGACAATGGGCGACAGGTCTGGACTACTGGAGAGTGGCATTGACTTGCTGAAATACACAAGGCCTTCTCTGAAAAAGATTATGCCTGGATGGCAGCACATCTTGCTCCAAAATCCAGTATATATCGTTCAGCATTAACGGTGCCGTCACAGATGTGCAACTACTCAATCCATGGGCTCTAATGCACCCCCATACATCACGGATGATAACAAGCTGGATGATCCCTCTCCTCTTTAGCCACAATTTCCAAAAAGAATTTGAAGATTTGATTCGCCAGTCCGCAGGCCCTCAGCCCATCTTAAATGAGCTCGTGCCCAGAGAAGTTGGTAGCATTTCTGGATCATGTTTAGATATGGTTTCTTTTTTGCATGGTAGAGATTCATCCTGCATTTGTGGATGCAGTGACCGTGTTCACAGACAACGGTTTTCAGAAGTGTTTCTGAGCCCATGCAGTGATTTCTGCTACAGAATTATGTCTGTTTTTATTGCAGTGCCACCTGAGGACTCGAAGGCCATGACTATCCAATATTGGCTTTTGGCCTTGCTGCTTGCATACAGAGATTTCTCTGGATTCTCAGAAACTTCTAATGATATTATGTACTATAGATGATGAAATTCCCAAATTCTTTGCAATATTACAATGAGGAAATTTATTGTCAAGTTGTTGCACTATTTGCCCAAACAGTTTTTCACAGAGTGGTGAACCTCTCCCCATTTTCTCTGCCTCTCGGAGGCTCTTTTTATACCCAGTTATCTTACTGATCTCTTACCAATTAACCTAATTAGTTGTGAGATATTCAACCAGGTGTTTTGATCATGCATTACACAACTTTTCCAGTATTTTGTTGCCCTTGTCCCAACATTTTTGAGCATGTTGCTGGCATCAAATTCTAATTGAGCATATATTTCTCATAAAACAATAAAATTTCTGTTTCAACATTTGATATGTTATCTTTGTTCTATTTTCAATTAAATATGGGTTTATATGATTTGCAAATCACTGCGTTTTTATTGTCATTGACATTTTACACAGCATCCAAACTTTACTGGAGATGTGGGCAGTCCACATCACCCAAGGACTGTGGGGCAGGGGAAGATCGAGGTACTGCAAGGTACAGCAGGGATGGGGTCCGAACCTGGGGAGGGCATCGCTACAGGCCGAGTCACCCCCGGGTATCATGTTAGTCATGACACTGTTGCAGTACGTTATCTGGCTTGCTTGGACGAAAGCGGCTGCTACGCAAATAAATATGAGGTGGAGGTGGAAGGTGCCAGCGTGCCTCTGATGGGAGGCTGTATGTCAGCGGCGCGCCCAGCTGTGCCACAGGGGGGTCTCAGCTCCTAACTCCAGCGTTGAGTTTCCATGTGTCAGCCTACAGGCTATTAGGTTACAGCTGCTGGCCTCTGCTTGGTCACCAAGCCAGAACGAAATGTGCAGCTGGGAATTTACCCGGAACCCGGGCCGGCGGGTCGGAGGAAGCCGGGGGCTGGGGTGAGGGGCTAGCAGTGGACCTGCCACCGTCACAGAGAAAGCCAAGGTCGATTAAGTATTAAAAGCTTTAATGACAAGGGACAGCTAGTGTATCAGTATCAGTCACTCGTTTCACTCGCCATGTTTATTGATGTGAATCAGTGTCCTGGGTTCCCGTCAGACAGCACATTAAAGTCGATGTCAATCAGGTTATGTTTATGGTCTGCCAGGCAGTCCAGGATTCCCTGCTTATTCGAGCCTCTTATCGGCTGATCAGCTGGACAGGACCCAGCTGTATTTAGGGAACAGTGATGGCCCTCATGATGTTGGTGTGGCCGGATCCCGGGCTCCAACCCGTCACCACAATGACCATGTCGCCCGGCTTGAAGAATCCACGGGCTTTTCCTGAAGAGGGAGAGAAACGGGGGGCTTCATGACCCATACCCGACAGGTGCGGCACCAATCAGGAGACGGCAGCCCTGGCATAGCTGCTAACCTATATCGATGCCAAACGTCACCCTGCTGTCGACGTCATCATCCCAGACTGGGGCCAGTGTAGCCAGGAACAGGGCAGGGAAGACCCCCCGGAGGAGCTGGGACTGCCGGGCCACCCTCTCACTGCGTGTCACAGCAATGATGGGGCAGCGGGGGCGGTACCGGGACAGCAGCTGCGCAGACCTGGGTGGGGGGAGGGTGTCAAAGGAGGATGGCTTATCGAGGGAGAGGCACAGATAGGGACGGGTGCAGGCCATGATAGGGACATAGGGAACTCAAGGGTGCCCCTACCTGCCGCTGGTGGTGAGCACAACAATAGCACCAGCGCAGCACTTGAAGGAGGACTCGACGGCCCCAATAGCTATCACTTCTGTAGGGTCAGAGCTGAGCGGCGTCAGGCGGCGGAGCTCCTCAAAAAGCTGCTGGTGGAAGATGGCAGCCTCCGCCTCCCGACAGATCTGCGTGTGTGACAGAGTGGCCGGGGCTTGTGTCAAAGTGGGCGTGGCTTCGCTAGAGGCTGGGTGGAGCTTCTTGTGGTGGGCATGGCTTTGCTAGATGATGGGTGGGGCTTGTGGTGGTGGGCGTGGTTTCGCAATATTATGGGTGGAGCTTGTGTGATGCAGAAGTGGCTTTGCTAGAGAACGGGTAGAGCTTTTAAGAGCAAGTGCTGGCTGGCCATGGTGGATGGATGACACAGCCATGGGAATTAGCCAAGTAGCTAAAGGCAAAAAAGCTCAAGCAACATCAAAACTACCTTTACAGAGGAGTCTATATTACATACAAAGCCGCACCCTACCCTTCTGCTGAAAGGTTCACACGAGTGCATGCACACGCACACACATACACACACACACCGAGTGCATCATTGCCACAGCTTCCACTGGGTGGCGTCCTTTGGCGGTCTCCGCTGACAGCATTAAGCAGTCTGCCCCATCCAGCACGGCATTGGCCACGTCGCTGCCCTCTGCCCGGGTTGGACGGGGGTGATGCACCATGCTCTCCAGCATCTAAGGCACAGGACAGACAAAGATGGACATCGGGATGAGAGAAGGAGACTTAACACATCCATCCAGCCATGCATCCATCATCTAAGCGCTCATTCTGGCTGCTGCAAGGTCACCTGCCACAGTGAGGATGGAAATGAAGGGAAAGTCTTCGAATTATCAGGGTTATTTTACGTGGGTCATTCCAATTAAATGGCAACTTTTTGAGCAAATTATTAACGATTAAAAGTATGTTATATTTAAAAAAAACAAAAAAACATTTAATTTCAAAAAAGGGACGATGGATGGTGAAACTCGGGTATTTAAGGCAGATCTTTCACCATAAAGCATTATATATTTCCACCCTGTTAAGGACACACACCACACAATCTGAAGGAGTCACCAAGCCTCCTGTCCTGTGCCACTGAGACGGGCTCCGGACCACACCGTCTGTGGTGGCGAAGATGGACAGATGGATGAAGTTTCAACAAAGAATGAAAATATCATCCATCAAATTTCTAAGCTTTAAAACACATATCTTTAGAAGTTATCAAAAAAACTAGCAGAACGTTTGATATTACTAAATTATAAATGAAAGGCATTCATCTAAAGTCTTAGGCCTACCGCGACCCTGAACAAGGCAAGTGGTTAGATGGATGGATGGATGGATGGATGGACGAACGGAGGATACCTATATGGTTGAATGGAGCATAACGGAGTAGAAAGGTGACAATGAGGGGGTCGGATATCTGGATCCTAAATTAGTCATAGCTTTCTGAAGGCTGGAGAATAGGGTAGCTTAATGAAAAACAGGCAAAGCGTTTATATCTACACGTCACACACATCCTGAAATAAAATCTCTCACAGGGTCGAATGCACATGAGTGAAACTGGCAGGCTGACATGAGGAAATATCGAAAAGACACAAAAATGAGCGATGCTGACACCTATTCAGCTCTGCACTGCAAAAAAACATTAAAATGAAACTGATGGTGTCACACCTAGACCGTGATGTCACTGCGAGGGGTGTCTGTTTTCTTAAAGGAAAATTACTCCAGAATGAAGGAATGGAGCAATACAGACTGGGGAAAACACACAAGTAATTAGTACAGTATGCAAGAGCGTTATTGTAAAGTCATGAAGAAACATGTGCAATATTTTCAATGATGAATAGCACTTAAACACACTGGAAGCCAGTATCATCAGGGTTGAAATGCATGAAATTAAATTAGAGATTTCGAGTCAGTCTGCAGTGGTGAGCGACTGCTGAGGCTGGAAAAAACCGGGAAGACGCATTTAACACTAAACACAAAGTGATATTTCCTGGGGACAGAGAAGGACTGAGTCATGTATCAACAGTATTCTGACAGTATAACAGGATAGAAAGTGTAGCAATGAAAACAAGATGCTGTCATGAATTTGTTTCGCTGTTCTGGAAAGGAGGGAAGATGTGTGAGAGCGGAGAGGAGAGAGGGAGACTCTAGGAGCAGGTTAACGAGGCCGACGCCCCGTGAAATTCTCTCACGTCTTCCTGTCAGAGGTTTCTTTCAAACCCACGAGCACCCGGGAGCTGAAGAGGAAGGCTGTCCTGATGTTCCCACGCTACCTCCCGCCGTCTCGGGAGAGGCTAAGCATGCGCACGAGCAAGCGAAGGAGCGAGGGAGGGGAGGAGGGCAGGAACAGGCCTGCTCAGGCCTGGCTCAGTGCCGGCAGCTCCGAGGAGGGATTACAGGGAGAACCAGAGCCCCCCCCCCCCTCCTCCCCCAGGGTGACGTTTGCACTAATTTCAAAGCCTTGTTAATTGCCGGTACCCATGTCCAAGCACATCTGCAAATCATAGCACTCCCAGTGATACTCGGGAACTCCACAGGAACTGGGGAAAAGACTGGGGTATGTCTGTGTGTGTCTGTGTGGTGTGAGTGTATTTGTCTGTATATGTATGTGTGTGTGAGTATACGTCTGTGCATGTTTCTGTGTGTGTGTGTGTGTGTGTATGGGTTATGTATATATTATACTGAGGGAACATTTTGTCTCCACAATGTCATAAAAACCTATTATTTTAATGTTGTGGGGACCATTATTTTGGTCCCCACAAGGGGAAATTAAATTTTATAAAAACCCATGACTGCAATCGAAAAAAAAAAAAAAGATAAAGGTCTTGTATTTTGTTTGGTTACTTATGGTTAAGGTTAGGGCTGGGTAGGGGTTAAGGTCGCCACGTTGGGATTAGGGTTATGTCCATAGAAATGAATGGAGAGTCCCCACAAAGATATGAATACAAATGTGTGTGTGTGTGTGTGGTGGGTATCTCTAACCTGAGTCGCACAGATGACAGGCTTCCCCATCGAGTTGCACCGGCCAATCATCATCTTCTGGGCAATGAAGACCTTCTCAGCAGGGATCTCTATGCCCAGGTCTCCACGAGCCACCATCACGCCGTCGCTTTCTGCAAGGATCTCGTCAAAGCTGGGCGTGGGCGGAGGGGGGCTGCACTTAACATGACTGTGTGGCTGGAAGCTTGTTCCTCACCAGCATCGATCGTTATTAAATAAACAAGGGCAGAGAGCTAAGTGAAGTGACAGAGACAAACTCCATCTTAGCCAGCACAAGGAGACAGAACTTTTCTTTTTTGTTGTTGCTGCGAATGATCAAGCTGCTTTCTCCAGCATTTTAAAATGCCAACGGGGTGAGACTCCCGAGCAAAGCGATGCAGAAGGACAGTGGCGAACTGCGACAGAGAGGCTGCTGGGCGGAGGAGGCTGGACACAAAGGAGGCAAGAGACTCACAAGGACAGAGAAACACTCAGGCCGTTTGTAAACAGGGAGGGCAGACACATTTTGTTACATCATGGTCCCAGGGAAACATGCAAAGAAAACGTGCCAGAAAGAGAGAGAAAGGGAAGGAGAGACAAGGGTCAAGAAGGGAAGACTGAGATGGACACACTGAGCACTGACTCACACTGACTCACACTGAAAGACAGAGAAATTGAGATATGAAGAGCTTATTTCACTCATTCAGCAGAAGCTATTATCCAAAGCAACATACACTGAGAAAGCAGCCAGTCAGTGGAGCAATTGGGGTTAAAGAATAACAGTGAAATCACTGTATAACCACAGGATTCGAACTGGCAGGTATATGATGACAGGTACAGCATCTTAACCTGCTAAGCCATACACCGCCCCACTAGATACAGAGATAAAGAGAGGAAGAAAAGCAGAGTCAGTCTGCCATCACCAGACCGGCAGTAGGAAGACGGACACACTGGCAGACTCACTTGCGGACGCCCTGCCGACTCTCCACCTTGCTGACTACCTTGATGTCTTGGCCCTGTTCGCCGAGGGCCCGTCTCACAGCCCGCACATCCTCCGCGCAGCGGACAAAGCTGGCAAACACCATGTCGATTCCCTGCGCCACCCCAAAGCGCAGGTCGGCCTCATCCTGCAGGCCCACTGCCGGCAGGTCCACCATCTCCGCCCCGGGAAGGTTCACCCCCTTTCTGCTACAGAGCACACCTCCGCTCTCCACCTGCGCCTGTGCCCAGTCCGACCCTGAGGCACAAGATCAAAGCGTTCGGCACGAGAGACAGAACACATAAACACATTAATTAGCATCACCATCAAAAACCATGACGCAGATGGTACAGGTGCCGGTTCAGGACAGGAATAGCAACACTGGAAACCTGTTCATAACAGGAGCAGAGGCATAGTAAACCTTTACTAGGTACAATTCAGGGAAAAGGAAGCCACAGAGTCTATTTGTGTAGGTGTGAAAGACATCTAACTTGTACCTATCTCCAGAATTTTCAGCCCAATGAGTCCGTCATCAATAAAGATCCTTCCACCCTTCTTGACGACACGGGGCAGACCAGGGTAATCGACCCAAATGATCTTCCCGTCTGTCTTGTCCCTGTCGGCCTCCGCTGTCACCACTCGCACCAGTTCCCCCTTCTTCAGCTCCACCTCATCATCCGGTCGCTGCGTACGAAAATGCACAGCGTTGATGGCATTTTACACAGGAAGACAGGCCATAAAGGAGGGGATCGCCGGTTATATTAAATGCACCACAGAGTAAATGAATCATGGGGAGTGAAGCGGCTCCTGGTTAATGCTAGGAGACAGACCAGGAGAGGACAGACCTGCAGACGACTACATCCACAGGCACACCTTGAGAGGCACTCAGAGTGGAGAATTTACAGCACTTTGCCATGGTAAATAATGTGCCAGGCTATGCCCATTTATTTTTCTACTATATAATGTCTTTCCCAGCTCAATCTGAGCTAATTTTCATCAAATTGGTGAAATACATTGACTCCTTCTTAAGCACATCAACTCTTCATGAGTTCCTCAGATGACGTCAAAAAGTCAACTGTTTAAAGTTAAATGACCCAAGAATACTCCCAAAACCTTGACTTACCCCTCTAACGAGCCCGGTACGTATCTCTGGACCTTTGGTGTCAAGTGCGATGGCAACAGGACGGTAGTACAGAGGGTCCGAGGTCAGGGTCTCCATAGCTTCCCTGATGTTCTTGATTGTTAATCTATGGTACTGGCGGAAGGGCAAAATGGTTAGAACAACAGGGAGAAACGCAGTCACTGATTTCCCTAGAAAGACCACAAGTCAACCTCATGAGAGCCATGCGAGAAGTTGAGCCTCGCAATGTTCATCCCAGCCTTCACCATCTCCTGGAGGTTCGGCACAGATTGGGAAGCTGGACCTGTGGGAGAAAAGCAGAGGCGGCGGATATGGAGATGATGATCAGGAGGTTAGGGAGTGAACGAAAGTGCATCACTGACAGACCAATTTGATTTATTATTAAATCATCTAGGTAACTAGGCCAGAGGTTTCCAAAATGGTGGTCAAGACCCCCGGGGGGGGTCGTGAGATGACTTCCAAAGTATGTTAACAAAAATGGTGAAATGTGGAAAAAAAACTCCATTGTAACTCTCAGCACATCAATTGTAATAAGTCTACTTAACACCCTGAGAGGTGAAATCTTCCCAGGGGACCCCAGCCTCCATTCAACGAAATCAAAAATGGAGATTGCGAGTCTCTGCCACTGTTACTTCAGGGCCCATGGGCTGAAAAGTTTGGGAACCAATTAACTAGGCAAACAGGAATCCAATACCACTCAGACAGAAGCCCAAAAGCCAGGACCGGGAAGAGATAAATGTCTCAGTCAAATGACAGCTCAAAGATCAGTGGAAGGTCATCCCCACCAATGGTGCAGATGATGCTTGTGTTGCGGGCGGTGATTGGCTCCTGGTCAATGTCCAGCAAGCAGAGATGCTCCAGGAAGGTGTCAGCCATGGAGGCGTCAAGCTGCTGACGCTGGATGAAGGAGTCTGGGTGAGACATGGCCTCCAAGTACCGTCTAACGCGTGCTGTGGAAGAAGGAGAGAGTACACAACGAATTGATACTCACACAGTGACTTTCATTTTGTCATTTTGATGTGTGCTGTTGGGATCATAAGGGTCAAGTATAATCTTTCAGAAACTAAAACCACTGGCAGCTTAACATGAATGAATGAGATGCAAAGGAGAGCATGATGTGGACAGAGTACATGGTCTGACCCACTACCGTGGTGTGATCCACGGTGGCAACATTCAGGTCTTAAACGCCGCGAGATTTCAGTTCGGGGAGGGAGGGAAGAGTGAAAAGGAGGAGGCGGACCAAATGAAAATGTGAAAGGCAGACCAAGTGAAAAGAGGGAAACAGACCAAGAGAAATGAGGGAGGAAGACCAAACAAAAAGAGAAACAAATAGAAGGAGGCAGGTCAAGTGAAATGAGGGAAGCAGACAAAACAAGAAGAGGGAGGCAGGCCAAACAAAAAGAGGGAGACAGGCCAAACAAAAAGAGGGAGGCAAGTCAAGCGCAATGAGGGAGGCAGACTAAACGAATGCAAGACAGGCTGCTCTGCAGAGTGAAGAAAGGGAAAGACCGGCGGCAGAAGTGGGTCAGAAGCTCCCTTGTGGCCCAGCAGCCCCTCAGGGGACAGACAGATAAGGACACCGGCAGACAGAAAAGGACAGTTAGAAATAGTATTAGAAAATACAACCTGGCTATTCTTACAGGTTGTGTTACTAAAACAGTGAGATGAAATAACTTTTCTCTTCGCAGGCTTATTTGAGAAAATTGGGGTGAAATTGCCAGCTTTTGGCTGAAGAATGCTGAAAAAACATTTTATTTCAATGGAAAATTTCAGTGCTGTGTCTGAGAGATGTAATGATGAGGTATATGTTGGGAAAAATAATTAGAAACATCCTTTAGGTCCATGAAATTTTTTTTTTAAATATGACATTTCTGGCGAGAGAAAAATGTTTTGGATGAGTGTGGACATTTTCCTGCCAGTATCTGCTGTAAACATTAGCCAGCAAAGGGAGCATAGGGATCCGCACTGTCATCATAACCCAGAACCAGCGGAGGACAAGGCAGGGCACCACATCTGGATGGCAGTCCACCACAGCACATATGCTAACAAACTAAGGTCAGTTAGGGCTGGTCATCGAGATGATATGGAGCCTTTATACTGTGGTTTGTGAAAGATGACACTTCCAGAGAAAACACAAAATTACAGGGGATCAGTAAACTACTGTCAGGCGTTGAGAAGAAATGCTCGATTCAAAGCGGTCACATCACCACACAGAAAACAAAACAAAATCGGCAGATATGTTCCCCAGCTGCCAGTAGACACCCTTCCCTCCAGACAAGTGAGTTATTCCACCAAATCCTGTTATTCACGTAAACACGGCACTGAATTATTATTTTATTTGATTGCAAAAAAGCTCAGTTTGTAATCAAGTACACAACAGCAACAACACATACAGACCCAAAGTTAGGTCATATGTGATGTACATCCTGCTGGGTCACATCAGGAATACTCTTGGTACAACTGCCTTACAGCTGAGTGTTGGTCCATTACACAATGATTCATTAATATTATTCATTTATGATAATGACTTCAACTGAGGTGGAAATTAAATGTTATTATGAATCACCGGTGATTAAAATATTATATAGCATACAATCAGGAAAGGTGACTGTTGCTGAATTTATTTTCTATTATACCTATATTTACCTGCTCACCTGCCACACAAACTAGAGAATTATGCTGTCAATGCGTAATTAGTGTTCAGGCTAATCCAGACCAGCTGAGACAAAGGCACTTTGAAATCACTCATTACAGATGCACACAGAAGTACGGTTAGTGCAGAGCGTTAATTAATCCCCAGGAACGATCTCCATCCATCCCGGCCAATGGTGTTGGCAGTTTTATCGTTTCTACCATTGCTGCTCTCTCTCTTGCTTCAAAGGTTGCAACTAATCGTTTCTGTCGTTCTGCGGCCGTAGACCTGAGTCACGAGAAACTCGCACGTCTGGGCGAGATTATGTCAGCGTCGTGTGAGCTGGTGCGTTTCGCTTTGTCACAGGGTCATCCTGCTTTCCACCCTCATTCACCCCCATAGTCATCTATACACTCACCTAAAGGATTATTAGGAACACCATACTAATACGGTGTTTGACCCCCTTTCGCCTTCAGAACTGCCTTAATTCTACGTGGCATTGATTCAACAAGGTGCTGAAAGCATTCTTTAGAAATGTTGGCCCATATTGATAGGATAGCATCTTGCAGTTGATGGAGATTTGTGGGATGCACATCCAGGGCACGAAGCTCCCGTTCCACCACATCCCGAAGATGCTCTATTGGGTTGAGATCTGGTGACTGTTGGGGCCATTGTAGTACAGTGAACTCATTGTCATGTTCAAGAAACCAATTTGAAATGATTCGAGCTTTGTGAGATGGTGCATTATCCTGCTGGAAGTAGCCATCAGAGGATGGGTACATGGTGGTCATAAAGGGATGGACATGGTCAGAAACAATGCTCAGGTAGGCCGTGGCATTTAAACGATGCCCAATTGGGACTAAGGGGCCTAAAGTGTGCCAAGAAAACATCCCCCACACCATTACACCACCACCACCAGCCTGCACAGTGGTAACAAGGCATGATGGATCCATGTTCTCATTCTGTTTACGCCAAATTCTGACTCTACCATTTGAATGTCTCAACAGAAATCGAGACTCATCAGACCAGGCAACATTTTTCCAGTCTTCAACTGTCCAATTTTGGTGAGCTCGTGCAAATTGTAGCCTCTTTTTCCTATTTGTAGTGGAGATGAGTGGTACCCGGTGGCGTCTTCTGCTGTTGTAGCCCATCCGCCTCAAGGTTGTGCGTGTTGTGGCTTCACAAATGCTTTGCTGCATACCTCGGTTGTAACGAGTGGTTATTTCAGCCAAAGTTGCTCTTCTATCAGCTTGAATCAGTCGGACCATTCTCCTCTGACCTCTAGCATCAACAAGGCATTTTCGCCCACAGGACTGCCGCATACTGGATGTTTTTCCCTTTGCACACCATTCTTTGTAAACCCTAGAAATGGTCGTGCGTGAAAATCCCAGTAACTGAGCAGATTGTGAAATACTCAGACCGGCCCATCTGGCACCAACAACCATGCCACGCTCAAAATTGCTTAAATCACCTTTCTTTCCCATTCTGACATTCAGTTTGGAGTTCAGGAGATTGTCTTGACCAGGACCACACCCCTAAATGCATTGAAGCAACAGCCATGTGATTGGTTGATTAGATAATTGCATTAATGAGAAATTGAACAGGTGTTCCTAATAATCCTTTAGGTTTATTTATGGATCCATCCATCCATACATACATCCGTCCGTCCATTTTCTACCCATTTACCCTGTTGGAGCCTATCCCAGCCAGCATGTAGCAAAAGGCAGTGGTACACCCTGGACAGGATGCACATTATTATTATTATTATCATCATCATCAACAAAAGAAGAAGAATTGGCCTGATAATCGAAAAGTCTTCCAGAAACATTGTAGACGTTAGTGCAATCTAAGTATTGTGTGTATTCTGCCCTACGAACAGCCGCCCCGAGTCCATTAGTATTAGTCATTCTTTGCTCTTGGTGGTAAATCAGTAGCCGACAAACAAACAAACCTTTGTGCTTTAAGAAGGAGTCGCTCGCTGAATAGGGTTCTGCAGCCGTACATAAACAACTTTTTAAAACAATTTATCGATAGAAAAAAAGGCAGGCACATAGTTCAATAATAATCTAAAATGCAAAGACTAAGTATTAGGGCTCTGCAATGTAAGAATCAAAGCAGCAAAAATAGAATAAAACAAGTAAATGTTCAAATCGCTCTGTCATCACCCAGGTGCAGCCCTAAGTGGTTAACGAATTAAAAATGACAAAATCTACAAGGTAACCAGACTTCACCTTGACGACTGTCATTATTTTAGTTTATCAGCACCACTGCTGAAATGAAAATGGTCCGTAGTCATTTCAGTAAATAGTCACTCAGTTTTTTTGGCGGAAGCACATCGCGATAATGCAAGACAGATATGTTTTGTCACAGACTAAGATTTACTTTGGCAAAAAAACAGTCTAATCGCTTGTCGGATAGTATAGCTCTTCTTAAAACATTCATACGGAAAAACAAAAATACATCCCAGCCACAACTCATTCCTAGTATAGCCTACTTCTCAAATATTTCAAATATTCAGATTGCTGAAAACAACACAATGTAATTATAACATTAACGGAGAAACACAAACATACAGTTGTTCTGAAAACGATTTAATTTTACAGCACAGACCTGTAAGTTTCCGGAGACTTGAATGAGGAACACAGCCAGTGGGCGTAATCCCAGCCACTAAATCGCACTTTAATAATTCGCCCGACAAAAAGAAAAAAGGCACATTTGTTAGTTTATGTCGCCATCGTGTGGTGACAATGTTACTTTTTAATGGGATGTGTAAAAATAATATGTAAATACGTTTATCAAAACTTTTTATTTTAAGCGATTTCTAAGATACATAGGAAATATCTATCGTTTAGGGTGAATAACTAAAGGGAATTTAAGACCCGCATCAGAATGAGTTTGTTGGTTGTGGTATTCAGTGATGGAATAAATGGGCACTATGTGACATCACATGCCCATTCCTGACCACACTGACCACGTCAGAGTGATGGGGACGGTGTCCAGGTATCAAAGGAGGGTAAAGGTGATGCTCGGGGGTGTCTCTGGCTGTAGGATGAGGGTGTATTTGGTGCTGATGTCAGCAGAAGAGGGCACAGTTAATTGGAAGTTCAGCAAGATCTGAAAGAAAAGTGAATTTAGTTAGTAAGAACAGCAGACAATAGTAGAGAAGGAACAAAAACAAAACAAGTGTGTATACACTTTAAGTCTAACACTTTAAGGGCTTCATGAACCATTTGCTGTATTTTCGGACCCCACTAGGTGGTGCTCTAGGTTTACTTAGGGGAGTGCTTTGTGCCCACCATCTAGTGGCATCAAAAACACAGGAAATGAAGCATCATTTTGACCATCACTAGTATCCGTCTTAGTCCCACAGCTACTCCTAGTCCATTCACCCCTGAAGCGAAACCCTTCACAGTCTCAGTAACCCCAGGAATCTGTATGTAGAGGCCAATGGCCCTGTCACCCCCCCACCAACTCTCACTCACATGCAACAGCAGCAGCTGCATCTCATTTTCAGCGATCCTCCTGCCCACACACTGCCTGGCCCCAAAGCCGAAGGCAAGCGAGCGAAACCCAACTCCTACACCCACGTCTCCCTCTCTGGCACCCCCTGTGTCCCTCGATGCCGGCTTCAGCCACCGCGCCGGCTCAAAGAGGTGTGGATCCTGGAAGACCTCCCTGCTGCGGCCTAGTGGGTACAGGCAGGCCTGCACCAGAGTCTGAGACAGAGTGAGGGAAGCTGTGATACTTTCTCACTGTTTGTGTTTTACAAAGTCTGCAAACTGGCAATGACCGACTCACTCACCCCAGCAGGGATGTGATAGTTCTGCAGCACAATGTCTTTGACAGGGTAACGCTGCACAGTGATGCCAACCGGGTACAGTCTGAATCAGAAAGAGGCATGTTTTTTTTATTTTTATTCTTAGTCTCATCACAATACACTTGTGTTTCTTTGGAAAAACTGCTGTACCTGAGAGTCTCCTTGACGGTGCCCTTGAGCAATGGCGCCCCCTGCAGGGCTTTCAGGGGATCACCGCCCGCCTGCGCCCATGACTCCCGCACCTGCCTGCGGACTGTTTCCTGCACAGCAGGATTGCGGGCCAGTTCATACAGGGCGAACTGCAAGGGGACGGCAGTCTGAGGGGACGGGTGGAGGGGAGGGGGGTATTCAGTATCTGATTTGCCTTTGCTAAGATTCTACTGAAATGTTTGCCACCAACTGCTCCACCCCAGCGACAGAATTAGCATATGTGCCCCCCTCACCCAGTCAGACTCACTGTGTCAACTCCCCCGGCCATCAGCTCCGTGATGTTGGCCTTGATGAGCTCCAGAGACAGCTGCCCCCTCGCCATTAACTGCCCCAGCACTCCGCCGCTGTGCCCATGGTTTCCAGGCAACTGCCCACTCTCTCCAGAAGACTTTCTGGACTGGAGCCTCTGGTAGCCCTTCTGGATACGGGCCTCAGCTGAGAAGTTAAAAAGAGAGGGAGAGAGGGAGGAAGAGAAAGGGGAGATGGGGGAGAGAGAGGAATGGGAGATGACAAGAGAGGGAGGAAGAGAGATTGAGAGAGTGATGGAGAGATCAAGAAAGAGATGGAGTGAGAGAGGGGAGGGGAGGGGAGCATGAGTGAAAGGAGGCAGAGAACTGGCCAGAACAATAAACACCTGCAGTGGGTATAGACTAGCGTTTCCCAATCCGGTCCTCGGGGACCTACAGTCAGTCCATGTTTTTGCTCCCTCCGAGCTCCATGCCAGACAGTCCACATTTTCATTCCCTCCCAGCTCCCAGTCAAGCAAAAACATGGACTGTCTGTGGGTCTCCGGGGACCGGATTGGGAAACACTAGTGTTGACTAACCAAGGTCCTCATTAGTCAGCTATCACTAACCTAACCTTAACTTAACCCTAACCCATCAGGGGAGCCACTGCTGCTGTGGCATTCCCATTGTCTTTGAGTGATTAATCATCTCAGGAGCCTCAGGAGAAGACAAAGGCAGTGCAATTAAGGAAATAATTACTCTGAGTGCTTAATTGCCCAGGCTGAATAAAGACCTGCTTATTCACGATCCCCCTGGGGGCCTCAATTCAGCCAACATGAAAGAAGCTGAACTTGATTAACCCTCCATTACAGCAAGCTGGCTCAAACCGCGTACTACTGGATTTCATAACCATGGGAGGAAGGCCAAGGGTGGAGAGAGAATCCGTTTTTTTACAGAGCATGTCACACATTTAGTGTTTATAGTCAGAGCGTTATGAGGTTTACAGAAAATCAGTTTTCCTCGATTAATCATGCAGCGAATCACAGACTTGCCACACCCAGATGCTCATGGGATGTTGCATGGAGCTGTTAGCCTCACCATGGCTGAAAATGTGGTCCCAGGCAGTGGCATGTTTTGTCCACAAGGGGGCGTGCAGGCGAAGCAGAAGGCCCGAGGGGAGGTAGAGCAAGGGCTGGGTGGTGGCTAGCATTCGCTCCACGGCCCAGATGAAGCGTTGGGACTCTAGAGAGGGAGAGGAGGAGAAGAGGCCGATCCTCTCTCCGTACAGGACGTGGCAGCTGGCTGGACACGGAAAAGGAAAGTTACTAAGCGGCGTTAAAACAGGGCCTATTTCCGCCTGTCTGACATGCTAATGCCCCTCTGAAGTCGCCCCGGGGACAGGCAGCCTGGCTACGTGCTTTAAAGGAGGATTAAAGATACACCTGTGTGCTGCAGGTACGCAGTCACCATGTCTTTAGGAATCCGCACGGGGACATTCTCTCTCAGTCTGCCTCAGACTATTCTCAGTGAGACACACAAGCTTGGGGTTCACAGCAGAGGGTCAGCCAGCATGTGGCACCACTGGAGCTGGGGTTAAGGGCCCATTTCAGGGGCCCACAGACATGACTATTCTGCCAAGGCCAGGGCTGGAACCGGGAGCCTTCTGATCGCAAGCACAGAGGTTTAGCCGACTGAGTCACACACGGGATACGTGATACGGAGGAAGAGAGAGAGGCTGACCTTCCAGTGCAAAGCGGAAGAGGTCTGGGCTGGGGTCAAGGGTCAGACTGTGACCGCTGCTGCCCACCCTCCTCCTGAGCAGGGCGCAGAAGTCCTGGGCCACCTGGTCCAGCAGCGGCAGGAAGCGCCGGACAGAGGAACTCATCATCACCTCGCGGTTCAGCAGGAGCCGGTCGGCACGCCACTCTGCGCCGTTCCTGAAGCGCAGGAAGGTGAGGGGGGCACATGCACTCAGTCTGAGGGCTCCCTGCCAGCCCGCTAATGCGTTGCACTATTTATTACACTTTAGACAGACAATTAACCATCACGCAGCAGTGTTTCTGTGGTATATCGTATACATGTGTTTGTACGTGATTTACTGGAGGAGCGGATGGATGGATGTGTGCACATTAATGGTGAATTAAAGCACATTCTCTCCTTCCTTGAGTCCCTATTGTCACTTCTGGCCCAGAGCAACCATGGTGCCCGCCCTGCCCCCACACACTGACTTGAGGAAGATGCCCTTGCTGTGTTTGCGAGTCTCCCGGTGCGTCGCCCACGGCTGCAGGGTCATGCGACGTGGGTGCAGGCCCTCCGAGCGGAACATTTCGCCGATGTCTGCCGGCAGCATGATGTTGACGCTTTCCTGGGAGCCAAGCCGTTCCCTGTCAGGGGGGGTGGGGGATCCTTTTAAGATAATGACCAGTCTACTGTAGGATGTATAACATGAATCCAGAATCCTGGGAACATTTCTGACGCCAAGTGGCTCTGTGATCACCTCCCTGTCCCTTTCATGATGCTGCCGTTCTCCACAATCTCCACCCAGACTCCAACAACACACTGCTAAGTGCACTGCTCTCTCTAAGCTGCCCTTACTGTGTCCTGCGATCATGTGCCGTCCTGGCCGGCGTTTCCCCCCCGTGTCCTGCGATCATGTGCTGTTCCAGACTCTCTAAGACCTTGTACCAGACAAGCGTTTAGGGTAGGTGGACAGATGGATGTTAAGGTTGCCAACAGTAGAACATCTATTTACTTCGTTTCCACACAATGTTGATGCATCAAGCAATATCAATTTGCTCCTTTGTGGACAGACAGGCAGTAAGAGAATGCAAGATCCCCCCCCCCCCCCTCCCCAAATCACCAACATCGGGATCCAGAGACAAGCTCATCTCCCTTGTTTAAATAATCCTGTCAGCTGACTGCTTGTAATTCAGTGATGTTTCAGTAGGCTTAGCGCACATGCCTCACAGCCCACAGAGATAAACCGAAACTGTCCCTCTACATCAGCAGCGCCTCCTCCTTCCCTCCCAGCCTGAGCAGAACCTGGTACCTGTAAATGGGCCCCAGTGCGTTGAAGGTCTGTTCCATGTGGTTGTGCAGAGATCGGAAGCGGTCTTCCTTCCAGAACCGGAGCAGGTTGACCCAGCCGCTGCTGCCGGTGTGCGGGATCTCTTCGAAGCTCCGCGGCCGCTCTGCTCGCCTCTTCCCGAGGTCCCCGCTGGCTGGTCTCGGAGCGGAGAGGGCGAAGCCACGGGCGTCCCGGACACAGAGCCGCGCAGGCACGCTCAGCATTTTGGGAGGCAGCGCTCCACTGTCTTGCCTGCTACCTTTTCTGTTCCACCCCCCCTTCCCCTATCTCCAGCCACACTGACAGAACCAATAATTTATTTCCTTTACAGTCACAGTTCAAGAGAAAGATGAGTCTGCCAACACGTAGGCAAACACACGTCAGCACACATGCACGCAACACGGGCCGGCAGGTTCGGGATCCCTCACAAGGACAGGAGGCGACAAAAGCTCTTGGCAAAAGGACATTTTATTATGGACATGAACATACAGTTTATGTTATGCAGTGTGACGTAACTGGGAATATCTCAAGGGTCACTGGGAATGACAACATTCAACAACATGGCCAGTATGTCCCCAGTGAAACCATCAAAAAGACACACATGGAATGGTGTACATCCATACTAGAGGTTACAAGGTGGCAAATCTTGACGGCAGCGTTCAGAATGCAGAAAATCAGCCCTCAGGAAAAGGGGCATCTTTCGAATTGAACCAGAGGCCGCACTAAGAATTCTCACAGCGTGCTAATTATCTGGGGAAGAAAATGACGTGTGTGTGTGTGTGTGTGTGTGTGATCACAGACCATGTCACACGGATGGAAAAGTCCAGAAGAGTTCCAGCAAAGCCTGACGGGGCGATCAACCTGCTAGACGGTGCGTTTCACATCATTACCCGGCACCTGCGCTAAAACGAAGACACGCAGCATTCTGGTAACAGAGGCGTACTCAGTGGAGAGATGGACGCAGCAGTGGGATCCATGTGACCACGACACGCCCCTGGCAGCTGAAATACCCAGGCCAGAATGAGATGAGTCACGGCGCCCCCTATCCAGTGACATGCTTACTCCACCCTTCACATTTTAACAGTCACATGCTAGAGGAGCAGCATTTTTTAGCTGTGACACTTAGGGAGGGTTCAGACACTAGCAACGCCAGTTTCTGTTTACCTACATCACATACCGAATTAGCAGTTAGCATGTAATAAGCTGACAGAAGCACCTCACATGACCCTGCACTGCTCGGCGCCTGGGGTGGGCGTTGGTGTCCGTGGGCAACCTGGCTGCATTCCCACGTTCGGCTTGAGGCGGCGCAAGGCGCTAAGCAGGTCATGCCCATCATGTCCGGGGGGGTCTCTGGGCCGCACCATTGCGGCCAGGTCACGGGGGAGGGCCACTTTCCCCCCCACCGCCTTCAAGTGGTTCATATCCTTCTGACTCTAAGGTAAGAGAGCGAATATAAGGAAAATACAAAGGAAAAAGTAAGTAACCCCCAGAGAGGGGCCTCAAATGGGAGATGAGCAGACGGTGGGCTGCACCTCGGCCAGGCGGTACTTGCTCCGGTAGTGAGCCCTCAGCGCGGCACGCTCCGCATTCCTCTGCACGTCCCTGGCTGCCCGCAGTTTCCTGCCAGGCGCATCACAGCAGCATATCATACCAAGCACGGCTTTCGCCATGCTGATACCGCCCCAGTTACAATGCAGACGGTCAGAGCCAACCCACTTACCTCTCCTTCTCTAAATCGGCGCGATAGGAACGCATCTGGGCCGCTGGCAGGGCACCCAGCCTGCTCCCCGTGGGGGGGCTCCTCGCTCTGCTCTCATCGCCACCCTCCTCGGCCCTGGACACGCAGCTTGTGAGGTGCTTGAAGGGGGCGGCCAGGGTCCTCTTCACCACAGAATCCATACCTGTGTCGTCTTTCTCATGCTCTTCAGGCCAGCTGTGCCTACGTGGCCACGTCGTCCCTGCTGACACGGTGTCTACAGGCTGGCATCTAAAAACCTCCCCGGTTCTTCAGTGTACCCACCTCTGCCCACTCACAAACCTGCGTTTCCCGGTTTCTCAAAAGGCCAAACCCTTGGTGACCGGCGCTTAGTGAGTGACCGGCCGGGTCAAGGATGGACAGGACTGGACCTCAAGGCTTCAAGTCACGGTGACTGTGCATCAGCATGGTGCAGTACTGGCTGCAGACTTTGGTCTGCCAGAAATGCCTCTTCATTCCACCTTAAATTATGTGAGCGGCCCCACCTACAGCGAGTAACAGCTTCTCCCTCACAGGTCATAGGCCAGCCTGACCCAGCCCAATGGATTAAGCAGCTTAAGACAAACTGTGGTAATCCCGTTAGCCTCACCAACAGGCCCACACTCCGGGGAACAGGACAGGAGGTCCGAGCTCTGCTCGTGAGCCCAGTGTCCGTATGTGCTCAGATTCAGAATCCCAGACTTCCAAGTTCTGGGAACACATATGAAACACAAAGAGGATGGATTTAAGCCACAGACCTCGATGTCAACGGGGGGGGGTGGTCAATGTCATGTCAATTTCCAGGGAGGTCACTGAGGGCAGGGTAACAGGAGCAATGAAAACACGGGTCTGTGTCGACGTCATATGGCCACTACAGCCTGCTAGTCCTGCTTCACATTTCCCCCACAGGACGGCAGGAATTATTCAGCGGGCGTCGTTGCCCGGGCTGGGCCATCAGGAATTATCCAACAGGTGTTGTCAGCTGGGCCATCAAGAATCATCCAGGGGGCATCATTGGCTGGGCCATCAGAAATTATCCAGCGGGTATTGTCAGCTGGGACGGCAAGCAGGAATCATCCAGGGGGCATCATTGGCCGGGCCAGACTGTCAGGGGAGGCACAGCTTCCCGTGCTCAGCAAAATGTCCTTAAAGGAATCGCTCAGCCGCCCCCCACCCCTCCCTCAGTGGGACCTTAATCCCCGCTAATGGCCTGCCTCACGTGCCTGCCCTCTCTCGTAACCATGACACCGTTTTTCCAGTCATGAGTGGGGAGGATGAGGCGGGAGTCATTCCGCAGGCTCAAGGCTCATTAGCCCTCAAACATCCCCCCTCACCGGCCTTCAGCCCTGACGGGTGAGGACACCATCAGTCACTGCAGAAGAGGGTCCTCCAGAGCACCTGCGCCCCCCCGCCTGTTAAAGGCAGCAATGCGACCACTGGCTTCGCAGACACCCCCTCAGTTAGCGGCTCCTAGGAAGGGAAGCGAGTCTGATCGGATTAGAGGATTTGGGAAGAGCCCAGCGCGGGACACAGAGGACACGCAGCCAGCTGCCTGGCACGGAGATAGCCAGGAGGTCGTTAGTGACTTAAAACCAAAAATCTGATTAGACGCAATAAAAGGCGGCTGGGAATGTCAGCCTTTAAGGGTGGAGAGCATTTAACCCAAGAACAAAATACCCAAAATGCCTGTATTTCCATCACCCAGGAATACAGCAATGGGCCTGGAGGGGCTCCTAATAGAATTGGCATTAATAAGGGGGTGGGGGCCAAGGTAAACCCAGAACGTCAGAGGTGCAACGGCAGCGGTAGGTAGAGCTCCAGCGGGAAGCAACCTGGGGGCTCCAGCACCAGCTCCAGTAATCGCTCGACACAGAAGGCGCTGTAGGAGCTCTCTTTTATTATAGAATCGTAACTTATATACAGTTTATACACAGTTCATTTCATACAAAAAGAACAGAAGCATGACATCAGCTTCTCTGAATAAATACTGTAAACCGTTGATGTCCTGTGGGAGGCGCCGAGTGACTCTGCACGGAGGTACAGCCAATATGTGCTTTACTGAGATGCTGGACATAGGATCCTTTGTAACAGAAAGTTTGTGGTACATCTGCCATCCAATCAGATGTGTTGATCAGAGCTCACAGCCCACGGATATCCGGCCCTCGAGGTTTAATTCCATCAGCAAGCAAAGAGGAGTCCCGGAGGAGGGCAGTACCTTCTCGCAGAGAGCCAATCAACAGGCAGTGTGGAGTGTCAATCACTCTGACAAAAGGAGACATCGTACATCTCATCGGCAGTCAAACAGGCATCGAGTGTGCTGTCACAGGGGGCAGGAGATGCGCCCAGGGAAGCAGCTTAAAGCCGGCAGCTGGTGGGGGGTGGGGTGGTGGGGGGGGGCTGCATGGCTTCTGTCAACACACTTGATTTCTAATAACTGCTACTGACTCCATCCAATTAAGACATAAAATGATTTAAAAAAAAAAGAACTTCTCAGACACTTGCTGAGTCTTAGCATGAATGTTGGATGTTGATTGGCTGAAACTGCAGTCACATGATCCCACACATCATCCACCACCAATCCCCCATGAGCAGAGACTGGGATGGTACCAGGTCCGTCCATCACCTCCTGTCAGCTGAACCAGAGTTTGGAGAAGGGGGAAGTGATGAAGAGGAAGGGGAGGAGGCGGTGGCTGCCTGTTACCCATACACCTCTGTCACTTCTGCTCAAAAACAGTCCAATAAAATTCACCCGTGTCCCTTTCCACAAAAGCCCATCACTGTGGGGACCCCAAAGGAGACCAGATCACCGGCTGATGTCACGGTTGCCCTCCCAGCTCTTGCTGCCCCCTGGGTCGCCCCCGGAGCCAGTCTCCCGGAGGGGAGCAAAGAAAGGGTGACGAAGGGAGGCGGTCAGCGTCAGCCGCTTGGAAGGCTCGTACTCCAGCATGCTCTCGATCAGGTCGAACAGGAGGTGGTGCTCCTCTGCCTCTGAGAGCAGGTACCGCTGCCAGAAGGGAACGAAGAGACAAGCGTCAGGCATGGGGGGCTCCATAACCCGAGGGGCATAACCGGGCGGGGGGAGGGGGCTGGGGGGCTCACCCGCAGAGGCTTGCAGTTCTCCCTCACATATCTGCCGGCTGACGAGTTCTCGTCCCAATCCAGACGGCCATGGTAGAAGTACTTCTGTTTCCTGTGGGGAGACAAAAACGTGAGTGACTGGGGAGGGGGTCTCATGGCTGGCGGGGGTCTCATGGCTGGAGGGGGTCTCATAGTCCCCACCTGGTCCTGCGGATCATCTTGGAGGGGATCGGTCCCTGTATCCGTTCCATCATGGCCAGGTGTTCCCTGTTGTCATGGGTCTAGGAAGGAGGGGGGGTGGAGAGGAAAGGGAGGAGGAGTCAGAAGTGATATATATGCCCCCCCCACCTGTGCCCCAACCCGCACCGGCTCAAGGTTTGCTCAAGGACGGAGGATGGGTTAGATGAGGAATCTGGCATGTTCCCTGGAGAGTGGCACAGTAGGGGGTGGGACATGCAGCAAACCGAGGCCGCAGATGTGAGCATGAGCCCGTCCCAAAATCTCTGCTGAGAGGATGCAAACCCACCCCCTTCCGGCAAACCGACACTAAAACAGAACCTATGAACAGCCAAGAGTGGCTTGCAGGAACACCTTTTGGTCTCCTATCACATCCCTGGCATGCTCTCAAAACGGGGGAGGGGGCCCGCTGAGAAGCCCCACCCTACCTGGAACAAGGTGAAGCCCTGGTAATATTCAAAGAGGATGCAGCCGATGCTCCAGACGTCACAGGGCTGGCTCCAGCCCAGCTCTGAGGACAGCAGCACAAGGACCCGGGTGATTGATGACGCCACTTTAAAGAACACGGGAGTGGGCGGGGTCACACAGCTCACCCAGAATGACCTCTGGTGCACGGTAGTGCCGCGTGGACACGATGGTGCTGTGGTGCTCGTGGTCGAAGGTGGCACTGCCGAAGTCCACCACACGCACGCCCGTATTCTTCACCGTCCGCTCGTCCCGTTTCTGAGGGACAAGAGCATGTCAGGGAAACCGGCACACAACCACGGAGGAGGCCGCGAGACGCCGCCACCCACCTTCTCCGCGTTGTAAGTCATGGTGAAGTCCGAATTCACAAACAGGATGTTCTCTGGCTTCAGGTCCGTGTGTGTCAGTTTGTTATCATGTAGAACTGCAGGGCAAACAGAAACTGTGTCAACCCCAGAGTGCCCCCTAGTGATCAGTATCTGCTCAACAATCCAAGTCAGAATGACAAGGGGAGTGTCAAGCAAGCAGTCTTGAAGCTTCTGAGTGAGCAAGGAGACAAGCTTCATGGAGAACATGAAAATGACAGCTGTCAGTGAATAAGGAGTACGTCATCAAAGCACTGTACTCTTCTCTAAGGCGACTGTTGTCCCTCTTAAGTTGTGCGTGTAATGAAGAGACTGCACAACACCCAATGGTCTGCATAGGGCTACAAATACACACATGTACACATACAAGGGATAATGATTTATTATTTTTGGGTTTTATTATTTTCCTTTTATTTTATTAATGTTTTTTATTATTATTTCTCTTTTTTCCCTATATATGGCGAAGTGTACCATATGGTACAATGACCACAGGGTACACAACATCCTTTACCAAGCAATACACACTAACTGCATATGCTACTACAGGGGTGGGCAATCTTATCTAGAAAGGGCCGGTGTGTTTGCAGGTTTTTTTTGGGATAACCTTTCGATCAGTTGCTCAAACCCAGTTGGGCGAACTCTTCACTCCATCAGTCCTCTAAGATCTACTCTAAGCACGGAGTTGCAGCGAAAAGCGGCATGCCTAACGGCCCTTTCTGGATAAAATTAGCCACCCCTGTGCTAATCAATACTTTGCAGTCTGAGATTTGTCCCTATTGCTCACTAGACAGTTACCGTACTTATGACCAGAGACCCACACAACAATTACGTTTCAAACTACATTTTCAGACAACTTCACATTATATGTGATCGTAGAGCTAAAATGGAAATTATCCTTATTAGGTATTAAAGATTATTACATTTCTTTCTTACACGGTGACTATACCCTTATTAGACTGCATTTTCCACCATCACTTACATATTTACCTGGAACTACACTTCTAACTACAGCTCGCGAGCTGTAGTTCGAACTACACAATTTAACAAGTGTTTGCGAACGTTCGTTCGAACTATGGTTTCGGGAAACACCTGCGTCTTACTTACGTAGTTCGAACCACGCAAATTGCTAACGATGGTTTTGGGAAATGCACCCCAGTACGAGAAGCTTCTGAAGCACAGAACCCAAAGAGTCGGAATAAGCAGGCAGCACCCAGGTAGGCTGTACTCACACTTGACGGCCTGGCAGATCTGGTAGGCCATGTGGCGGACCTGTCCGATGGAGTAGGGGAGGTAGTTGTTCTCCTTGAGGAAGTCGAAGGTGCTGAGCGCCAGCAGTTCGAAGGAGATGCACATATGGCCGTGGTAGTCGAACCAGTCAAACATCCTCACACACAAGCTGGGGGGAGGGGGGGGGAGTCAGGTCAGACCAGGACGGAAGGACAGACAGACAGCCGCCCCCCGTAAGACCCTGATGCAGCCTGTCCGTCACTCAAGACACTGTTTCATAAAGAAAAGCAACTAAAGTGGCGCAGAACACCCAGTTGGACACTATTGTCAAGGACTATAAACACAGCAAATGCTAATATAGACAAGCCAAATCTATTCAGCCAAAAACATGCCTTATATCTACGCATAATGCCAAACTCACAGCACAATTTACAGTGTGCCATTACGTGAGGCTACTGCCTAGACGCAAATAACCCAAAAACCATAGAATTATTTCTTAATCTTAAGAGTTAATCCTGAGTTAATCATAAATCTCCCTCATACAACCAGTGGCTGGCAAAAGAAGCAGAAAAGCAAATGAAGAAGCCTCCTTAAATAACACAAAGCGAATATTAAAACTCCATGAGCAGCAGCTGGGGTAGCTAAACCATAAAATAAGGTACCTAAGCCATTAAAACTCTCCTTTCATTTCCTCATAAAAGTAAATCAATACATAGAATAATAAAAACTGTTTAACAAGTATATAAAAAAAACCTCAGCAGGTTAGGATGGAATCATAAAAGTAGCCAGTGCAAATCCTATGGTGGTCAGACTGGTTTCAGCCTTGAGTCAAGCCCTTAACACAGGCCCTCGCCCTTAACACAGGCCCTCGCCCTTAACACAGGCCCTCGCCCTTAACACAGGCCCTCGCCCTTAACACAGGCCCTCGCCCTTAACCCCCAGTTACTTCAGGGACCAGCTGACCCTGCTTCCTCTACATGGACGTCACTTTGGATTAAAGCAGCTACTAAATGAACAAATATAAATAACATGAGCTCCACCGTACCTTTGAACATCTGGCTCAAACACAGCACTAATACGACATGACAGTCAGCTGCTGAGACGAGTCTATTGTCAGGTCCAGCCCTAAAGAAGAATGCTTCCCGTCACGTCCATACCAGCCACATTAAACAGGCACGTAACACTCCTGGCTATTCATCTGCCCACAAAGGGCACAACCTCCCCCAACATGAATCGCTTCAATAATTAAGAGCAGGGCAAGTCCAGTAAGTTGAACCATAACAGTGATATTTTCAACTTGCTTGAACTTTGGTGTGCATGACTGTCCAAACACATGTACATGCTCAGTTCAACTGACATATGAGAGGGTACACAGATGCTTAAGAAGAAAAAAAAACAGCTACTGATTAAACTATCATTCATACTGATTTCAGGAACTCCACTGTTCTGTACGACTCACACAATTCCTACAGTAATTAAAAGAGCAGCTGATTGGCTACGTAGCCAAAAAAAAAAGCTAAAGCTGAGGGCACTTGGGCCCAGTGTTGACTGGAGGGCCGGGACCTTCCCACATGCTCAGGAATGATCAGTGACTGACTTAAAGGCCAGAGACCATACACAAATACGCCTTTGAAACTTATCAAGGAATGATTTGTTAGAGCTGGAATTAGGAAGAAATTATGGGTTTTATTAATCATTAAAATATCACCTGAAAAAATGACATTAAATATTAAAAACCCATTTTGTAAAGTGATAATGTTTTAGCCTGAGGCTGGAGTGAGACAGAGGCCCAGCTTAACAAAAGCACTTTAACAAAGGTTTAAATATTCATACAGAGCGCCGGTATAATGATGTTCCACTACAGCCTGAATCCTGTTATTTTTCAAACACACATGCAGATTAACCACGTAAGACGGTAAGTGTCCCCTTAGAAGCTGCCCTTTACAGGCCCCGTAGAGATGCCACCCCACACGCCCTTTACAGGCCCCGTAGTGCCCACAGAGATGCCACCCCACACGCCCTTTACAGGCCCCGTAGTGCCCACAGAGATGCCACCCCACACGCCCTTTACAGGCCCCGTAGTGCCCACAGAGATGCCACCCCACACTCACTGTTTGTTCTCGGGGTCCTTCTCATTGATGCGCTCCAGCACGTTGATCTCCAGCCGAGCTGCCTCCTTATACTTCTCCACGTTCTTGATGATCTTCAGGGCAACTCGAGTTCCGCCCCTAAAAGGCCAGCCCGTTAACCTCTTTGTATGGGGGGGGGGGATAAACTGTGGCTCCAACATGCTCATCTTTGCACACCCACCTGTGATGGTCTATGCACTGCACCACCCGGCCGAAAGTTCCCTCCCCCAAAGTGTTGACGATCTCATCTACGGGACAGGGACAGAGGGCAGGAGAAAGGGGGGGGGGGGAGAACACAGAACAAACGCCATCAGTGGGGTCAGGGACGAGTAGCTATGAGGAAGAGACAATGAGAAACACCATAAGGCCCCCCCACTCTGAGGTGGGCCTGCTACAGCCATGAGTGAGAGATACAACAGCGACACAGCTAAGCAGCCCAACCCCCAGCCTACACACACACCGCTAGGGGTGTCATTCTGCGAAACCCCCCCCCTCCAGCAGCGACACAGTTCCAACGTAACCGCCACTAACAGTCAAGCAGCGTGTGGTTATTTCTCTGCATCCTGCTTGACCAGCAGGTCTTCTGGTTAAAAATTACAGTATTTCAAAACAACCTCAGACAACAAAATTAAAGACAAGTCAACTTCGCTAAAGCTAGCGGGTCCTCGCGGACACCTTAACGTGGTCTCTATGCTGCGGGAAGGAGGCTGAGCGGGTGGGGGCGGTATGGAGGAGAAGGAAAGGCAGGTGGATCTCAGTTAATAGGACTGTGCTCCCCCTCGTTAACAGAGCCCAGTGCTCAGGTGCTGTGGAGGCAGACAGGAGCATGCTGGCTGAGAATGATCCTGGTCCAGGATCTACCCGAGCACAGACCCATCTAGTTAAAGGGAGGAGCAGCTCATATCAGGCTGTTTCACAGCTACAATGGGGCGGAAAAAAATCACAGCATGGCCTTAAGTGTGGAGGAACTGTATGGAGATCTGTCAGGGCTGGATCTTTATGCTTAATTAAAAACAGCATCCTAGAGACATCTGGGATTCAAATCAGGAGACACAGGCAGGGGAAAATGAGTGACCTCTAGCCTGACAACCTTAAGGCGTGTTTTTACCCCAGTTTCACATAGCAGTACATTATATGCATACATATCTATGTGGATACTGAGGCAAATAGATATGTATCCATGCCCGACCAGCAGGGGGCAGACACACCCTAACGTGACTCTCAGGCAGCTCCCTCCCTGTCTCTGAATGCTCTACAGATACACCGAGATGGAGAAGGGTTACGATAGTAGTGGCTGTGAGTACATCTCTCTTGCAGGACGTCCCCACTCCGATAGACCAGGTGCCCTTCCTCGTCGTCCCTCACACTCAACGCCCGCGTCCGGCTGTTGCTCCTCTGTGGGCCGCCAGGGTTCATTCGGGGACGACACGAGCCGGGGGGGAGGGGGCCGGCCATTTGCCACGGCGGTGGAGGTGGCGTTACGGTCGCAGGTGGAGGTAGAGGAGGAGGAGGTGGTGTAGTAGTTGATGATGTAGGTAGAATGGGCGGCCATTGGGTGATTCATATGACACCACGTGAGGAATATATAACGATAGGGATATAGTGCAAGGGAACAAGTCAAATATCACATTGCTCTCACCTGTCTCCCCGCCCCCCGTTTTAATGATTCATATATTGTCCCAATAAAAAAAGGGTACAAAGTTATGGACAGTTACATGAATAATGAGCGCATTTACTGGAACAATACGAAATTGATTAAAAGTAGAAAACACACTCAAAAGTCCCGAGGCAAAAAAAAAAATAAAAAATCAGTATTTTCAGGAGAATACTTAGCATCAGAGCCCCCCCCTCCCCCCCCCACCAAACACCAAGGCAAGGTCATAGGTGTCAGAAGAGGACACCACGACCTCAGCGTGCCCCAACCGGTCAGAGGCGTGTCAGGGCGACTAGAGAGAGTCAGTCATGCACACAGAAGGCAGAAGGACAGCGGCGGCGCCCCCTATCGGCCGGGCGGACAGAGGACGGCACAGAGACCGGGTTGGTGTGCTCGCATATCACCTTACGCTCCCACCTCACTGGATTGACAGTACTGTAAAAATACGACTTGCACAAGGCCCCGTGTCCTCCCAGATCAAGTCTCCCCTGTGGGACGGCTACAGTCCAGTTACCCCGCTTTCAGATCGCTACCAAAATAAACACAGATTAATGGGCGAGTGTTAATGGACGGGATCCTTATAAAATGGGTTGTGGAGTTACCCGGGACGCTGCAGAGACACAGCCAAGGAGGGGGGCCGTGACGGGAGACCGACGGGGGAGGGACGCACTCGAGACAGGCGGAGTGGAGCACGGCATGCCGAGGTGGCAGGTACTCACAGACAGGCACAAACAGAAGCAGCTCAGGCAGGAATAGCAGATGGAACACAGCCCTACTCTGCCCAGGGCTCTGAGGCAGAGCACAAGAGCAGGGGAGCGAGAGAAGGCAGGCAGGCTGCACGGGCGAGGAGGCATTTAGGGAGCGCTATGGGGAGGCGAAGGGAGCACGCGGGAGCTGGAGCAAGCCGGGGGGAGCCCTGAGAAAGACTATTAATAAACTGACCCTCCTGGGAAAAGCCAGGTCGCCAATCAAAATTTCAAGAACGGACTGGCTGGGGTCCGGTTTCTCTGACCAGGCTCCATGAACCTCACCCCTCCCCGCTACCACTCTGCCCCACTTTCAGCGCCCCCCCGGTATGATCCCCGATCTAGGTATGATCTGCAGAGACCCGAATCGGGGGGGGGGGGTTGGGAAGCTACAAAAATTGATCATTAAGGCCATAATTATTTAATGGGGAAGGCACCTGTGACACACAAAACGGGACACGGTAAAGCAAGCCTGCCCCTTATCGCATAATATTAGGCTGGACTTTAAAATTGAGGGCTGGCAAACCCAGAGTCTGCAGCCACATGAAGGCGCCCAGCTGTCCTGTGCGGAACACCTTCCGAAAACAGAAAGAAGCCCCACTGAACCTCAGCTGTGCCCGCAAACACACCGTCATCAGGGCGCTTTTTCATTTCAGCCCCTGGCTGGAATTCAGGCTGCCCAGTCGGACTCCTGGCGTTAACGTCCCCGATCTACACCTGAGCGGCTGTCGGGAGGCCTGAGCCCCGTCACCAGTGCCCCCCACTGGCAAAGTTTAAAGTTTACAGGCCACAGATCACAGATCACGTACGACATTAAAGCCAAATAAACAACCCATACATAAAGAGTTAACATGTCAACATTTGGATATCCTGCACAAGGAGCATCAATCTGCAGACATGCATAGATTGTGACTTATTTAGAAGATTTAATAGACACAGTAAGTAGAATCACAGCTAGGAGCTAAAAACAGCATCTGAGCATTACCACATCAACAACTTCACCACACCAACAACTTCACCGCAGGGAGTTTAGTTTTTTTTTAAAAACAAATACATAAACACCAAAGAACTTTATCTTCAAAGAATGGACAAACCATTAAATGATTCTGCAACGCACTTAAACTTGCTGTATTTAATTACATAACAATCAGAAGAAAAGTTTCCAAGCCCTAGATGTAAATTATACAGTACTGTCAATACCAGTCATTTGTGGTAACAAATGAGTGAAAGACAAATCATAGCTAATTTAACGCTTAAGAGGAGGCCGGAGCTGAGGCCATTCCTAAACAGGTTCAAAAGGTAAAATGAATTCACCAAGGTGGGCAGACGACTTCATGTCAGGCTGACAATACCTTCAAAGCGGTACCCATACAGAGAATAAGGCAACGTTTTTAAAATGAAGAAAGTTAAGAATCTAAATTATTTCGAAATTTTTCTTCCAGGTCCAATCTGGAATGAGTAACCATGCCCTGAATTTACATTAATTAGCACCATACTTCCCCCTTAATCTTGTGAGCTAATGAGGGGCGGGACTGAGCACACACCTCCTCCGACATGTGTGATGTCAACCACCCCCATCGTACAGCGCAGGCCGAGCTGCAGCCAGCGCGATATGTGCCGCTGCCCTGAAACGGGGCCAATGCTAGGTGGCGCTATAGAACGACTGGTGTCCGGGCAGGCGAGCGGTAACCATGACGGCTGCCCTTGAGATTTCAAAGGAACTGTCCGCCACAGCAGTTAAAAGGACTTCACTAATATCATTAGGTAAAAGTTTTGCCTACTTACCAAGTCCGGGAGCTGAGGATAAGAGA